CCTGAAACGATGGCGAGAGCTCATCAGAAGCTTTCCACACGTGAATTTGGTCGGTCTACGCTCTTGCGAATGTACGAAATTCGCAGAGTCTATGCGTCATTGCCCACAGCTCGCAGCCGGGAGCGCTCGAAGCGATATCGTCCGTGCTCGACGATGGGTTCCGAAGTTCTTCTGACCTGGACAACTGTCATGTCACTGCTGATATTGCAGACGCTACTCGCGGATGGATCCAAGGAAAGGACTAAATCACATCTTTCTGCACTGATATGGGCTTCGAACATTCCCGAGAACAGTTGTGAATTCGGCGCGCTCCGCCTCTTCTCGATCTCTGTCGAGAAGTCACTTCGCGTCCGGCAGGATATCTCGCTGTCTTGTGGAGGGTATCGTTGAGGGCTTCGTCGACAATACTGACAAGGCTGGGGGCGGCCATCTTCGGCACCTTCAGAGTCGAGGGTCTGGTCGAGCATCTGAACCCATATTATTAGATGAAATAGTCGAGAGCACAGGAAGCTGACTGACTGACTGACTTCATTCGGGAACCAGATCAAGCCATGCGAATAGGAGCCCGTTCCCTGCCATTCGATAGAGCACAACCAGCGGTGTGCTCCTCTGGAGATTTGATCCTCGATGATGAAATTTACCGCTAATGGCGAAGCCGACGTTTTTCTAAGACGCAAGCAAGGATCCCGTGGCGATCGGCAGGCGACTAACCTGGACGAGAGGGAAGAACGAATCGAGGCGTCCATATACGCCAAGGTCATAATATCCATTGCATATCGTGCGCATGGCGCAGGCCTCCGGGGAACGTTTCAGTTTGGATACCTCGCTTTCCAAGAAGCTTGCGGGCTGGATGCCTTCCTTTCAAAGAATGCCGACATCGATGTCAGCATCGGCTTCCGATGCCTTAGCCTGAGCGCGGACTCATTTGGTTCAAGCGAATTCAAGCGAGCGAGCGACCGATTGGTGATGGCTCTCATTTATTTCTCCATGATTATCCACAATGATTATATGTACGTATGCGTAGATGAAATACCTTATTGCCTGAAGTGCTTGCGCGCTTTGGCTTTTAGCGATTCCGGCAACTCTCGCCATTGTCTCTCATTTAGATGTTGAGACGCCAAACACTGAAGAGTTGGGCACCGAGTTTCGTAGAACCTCTTCTGCTCGAACCGAATGTCCAAGCTGCAGCACGCGTGTCTCATCAATTCGTCGCGTTCCTCGCAGGTCCAGGGGATTCCTGCCAGGCGAGCGAGTACCGTCGGCTCTGGACCCCACTTGTACTCTTCGTGCGTCAGCCACCATGGAGCCTCCTGGAGTCGGAGTAACTTGAGGAGAAGGCCGCACAGTTTGCCATGCTCGTCCCTGGAGACGGTTAGCGCTGCTCCGAGACACACGAGCCGCAATATGAAGTCACGAGAGGGCTTCATTGAGAATCCGTAGCGCCCGTCGCCGACGTGCCGAGCAATGCAGCTCAACAAGAGACACAGGGCGGGCCTCGGTATCTCGTCCCGAGCCGGTCGGAAGGAAACGTTCAGTACCATCAGTATGTGTCGGCTCAGGAAAGCATCGGCCGTCTGGAAGAACATCAGAAGTTCTTGCCAAGTCGGTACCCTGGTCATCGCGCACCGGTGCGAAGCTTCCACCACTTTTTCTTCCAGGATTCTGCTCAACTGGGACGATCTGGGCCAGAAACAGAGACGGCGCATGAGAATGGCGATCTCTCCTAGAGTGCGAGCGTAATCGAAAATCCATGTTGATTCTCTCGACAGGTAGACGTGGGGCGATTCCTCGAACTTCAGCGAAGCTTCGACGATGGAACAGCACTGGATGACGAATTCCACGTAATAGCCACTTCGTATCTGGGCCTCTAGAATTTCGATGTCATTTTCATTGTTGAAGATCGGCAGCGGGTAGTATTGTGCGAAAGAGTAACGCCGCGGTGACTTCACTAAGAGGGACCGTCTGAACCCCTCGAGTCCCCTGTGCACGGGGTCCCGACCGTCGCGGAGCTCTGCGACCTGGGTGAGCTGCACCAGCAGGTGATCGAAAGCAAAGAGCTCGATCGAGGAGGAGCCCGACATTCTATCGTGCGACCTCGAAATCTCGATCGGAGCTCCTCGCGATTGTGCGAATTCTCCAAGACTGTGGCCGGGCGCCGGGGTAGTCTCTATTTGTTGTTTTGATCTTGTCCCCCTTTCCTGGAGAGCCGCCGTAGCGTGCTAAGACCACGCACGTCGTGGAATTGACGTACGCTCCGAGCTTCACCGAGATGCGAGGAGGCGCACACTCCTCGTTGGCGGTATGCTTATCTATCGTTAGCCATGAGGAAGTCAGAGAAAGAACTCTAAGAACTTTCCTGGACTGTCATGTTGCGCCTGTGCTCAGCCGAAGATCTGGCTGATCCGAGGATGCTGGGGTTCCTTCACTCACTCAGTCTCGGATGGCCTGGTGAGCAATTGGGATTGATAACCGATCGGGGTTCGCAAATCAAGCCTTCGGTCTATACCCTTCATATTCTTTGCGGAGCTCCTCGGAGAATATTCTCGATCGGTCCCGGTATTCCTGTATCCTCAATCCTCACATGATGTAAAGTTCCCGCTCGGATGGCGAGTGTTCAGCGGATAGTACAAATGTCTTTCTCCCACGGCTGTAGGATTCTCTCGGTGCTGCCATTATTTCCCTGAGGTGAGTTCTTCGCCCAGTCCCGATTGCATCAGTATTCCCTCTGCCTCGCAAAATGCCCCGTTGCATTCGCAGACGATATGGTTTAGTCTTTAGTATTTCCAGATCCATTCTACATCTCGGTACATGTCGATTATTCCTCCGATGAGCTCCATCGAGATTCCGAAGGGAATTCCCATTTGTTGGACGTCGAGTTTGGAATCGTCGGCCCGCGGTAATATCGATGCCGTTCGGAATGACCCATCTCCCTCCTCTGCTCGCTCCCGGATTGGTACCTACGGAGTCTAATCGAGAAGATCCCCTCGGGAAGGCTTAGAAATCGAGTCCGATGGCTTTCCCTTGACCCAATTGATAATCTCGTAATCGCAGTGGAGCCTTCCTCTTGACCTTACGCTGCTCGCGTAGCTCACTGCGAGGCGATGCGCACAGCGGGACTTTCCACTTGTGCCTTCGGATGATAGGATTGAGCCTTGATTACGATCATTAATTACAAGCAGAATAATCGATCTCTAAATCCTCAAGCAGGAGCTCACCCAAGCAGGGGGGGGGGGCAAGGAGGCTTCACTAACGAAGAGATTCCTGTCCCAATACCGGAGCATAGGCCGCGAGGAGGTGCAGCATCATTCTCAACTCATTCGCGTCCTCCGCCCTTCTAGAATCTGAGTTGGCCTCCTGAAGAAACGGAACTCGACACGCTCCTGGATGCGACCGTGATCCAGAGACCCTTTCTTGGGGAACCCGATCCGGGACTCTACTCGCCCACGAGCTGCGGTGCGATAAAAAGTGCTAGTTCCGAGCGATTAGTCTGCGGTGCGACGAATAGCGATAAGATGATGAATTTCGAACCGATTGAGGACGCTCCGAATTTTTGGGAGATTCGTCCCGTTCGTTTGCTTGCTTCTGTATATGGGAATAGGAGCCCCTATGAACGATTCGGTATCCATCCTCATTCCTGACGGAGAGACTACGAACTTCGATAAGGAGGGATGGTGTCAAGCAAAATCATGAATCGTGAATGAGTGTCACCGAAGTCTCGAATATCGGCTGATTACCTTCGCTTCTCTTCCTCCGAAGATGCGCTAGGTTCCAGTGGCAGGATATTCGGTTGCACTCGTCGACATTGAAATGCTCATGAGACGGTAAGTTTGGGGTGCTCAATCCATACGTGCGATCCATAGTGAACGGCAACGAGAAGTGCCGTAAGGCGAAATGCGGAAGGAAAAGGGTGGGTAGAAGCATTGACGGTCGCCCGCGACATACGTCCGAATGAACGTAAATCCACGAAGACGTCTAAGGCATCCCGTGGGAGTGCCGTCAAGTGTCGTCGCGTATCGACGCCTATCGTTGTGATCCGGGAGAGCAGCAACCTGCTCGAAAGCTCCCCCGATATCAGGGCGCGTATTTGGGAGGTGCAGCGTATAAGGTACGAGCGTGCCCGCTTGCGTCCACGCTCCGTGAAGAGCTTCCGTCCGCCGCCGAGTCGCGCCGAAATTTAGGCGATCCCGAATTCAGGAATTCCGCCGATGGCTCGAATTCTCGATCGACACAGTACTCTGGAGGTTTAGCCTGGGGCTTTGGTGTTCCACAGTCCCTATTCCCGTGCTCGGGCTAGGTGCATGATATCGCTCCTATCCACGAGAAATTCGGCGTGTCATCCGCTCATCCTTTTTCGAACACTCCATCAAGATGATTGGTGCTCATCTGAGGTCGGTGGCCAACGCCTCGATCTGACAACGTTCAATGCGCCAAGCTCTGAGACTTGGACTAGACCTCGAAGCGTGAGAATGGACGCTCACCAAAGTCCCGAGACCCCTTCCGTCTCAGGAAAGGGATCATTGCCATCGGGAAAGACATCGGAATTTACCCACCGATATCTGAACATGGGATCCGCCACGCTCCAGCGACTTGAGATGCTCGACATCCCTTCGTTTCCCGTGATACAATTGAATACATACTGTTCGCATCAATCTCTGTGTATCGTGGTTCGGCTCTCGACCGGGCTTGGATACAAGCCCTTCGATTCTCAGGATTGTGCGTCGGGAGTCCGCTTTGCGATAAATCAGCCATTTCCGCGCTTGCAGCGGCATCGAGAGCTCCTTAACAGAGGCGTATCCGGAGAGAGGGCCATGCTCCCCCCAGAATCTGGTTCCCCCCCCCCCTCGCCGAAAAAAAATCCTGGAAACGCTGCTGCTCGTTAACCGAGTTCCACATCAAGTTTGTGGCATTTGTAATCCTATTCTATGTGAATTGCCAATGCTCGAGCATACCATGGAATGAGCTGTTATTGCACGAATAGACCGAATCGAAATAATCAGTTTATTGGTTATCGTTATCAACAAGAACATTTCCGACAGAAACAGTGTCTCGCTCCGATGAGACGTCTCTAACCTCGCTGCATGTAGATAACACACTGGTTTCTCCGTCATAACAAACTTGCTCATCATGAGCTCCCGAGAGCCTCGAGCTGGAGTCTCTCGCGGAGTCCCGGGGCTCGGGGATCCCTGCTCGCATGACGACGAGCACCGAGAACCCACGTCAATGTTACGTCCGTCAGTCATCTCTCCAACACCATGATCATAACCATAAATTAAATTTGGACCTTCCCCCAGCCCCACAATGACGTCACAGGCTGGGTGGCAGCGCGACACTACCTCAGAGATCCGCTGAGAGCGATCAGTTCACCCCTCCACGCCATGAAGGAAAGAGGAAAGTGCCGACATAATTTTCATACTCCCGGCGCTACTGGAGAAAAAGTGGGAGCTATATTACCACCTGAGCGGGAGGAGAACTCGGGCGATGGTCTCCATGAACAACAAAATCGAAAATACTTGAAGCAGCTTTCCAAAACCCGAAAACCTCATTTATTCTTCGAAGTGAACGGAGGCACCTCGGAAAGATTGACGTGATCTGATGGCTAGCGCGAGAGACGGAGAGAAACTCCCTAGTCTTTCAATAATCCAGGCCCTTAGAAACGATCTCCTTACACGTGGGTCTCAGGATAATGGTATGCTCGTATTGTGCGGTGTAACATCCCTTGATGTCGCAAAGCGGAGGGTATGCTTCCACAATGCCTTTGTCACACAGATCTTTCAACGCGGCAAGGTATCTGCTCTGACCGAGTCTGTCGAGCCAGCGACGGCAGAAGGCGAGCGTACCGAAGTTCTCGTCGATAACTCTCAGGAGTTGTTTCGATGAATTCAGCCGCAGAGGAACGTGTCCCACGTCGAAATCCTTCATGTAATGCGACACTTCAAGATCGTTATGTACCATTCCTCGACCGGTCGAACCGAAAGTCTCAATAGCGAAAACTTCGCCCTCTTCCATGCGGGTGTGCTCACCGCCCTTGACGATGGGGACGGTTTTTCCCGCATGGATCCGGTAGGGAGCGATCGAGTGACCGTTCAGATTTCGGATGCACTTGACCGGGTAGGTTTTGCCGTCGATTTCCACCTCGTAGCTTTCCATGACTTCTTGTACGGCTTCACCGATATCGCACAGACGGACATCGATTCCCGCGGTTTTGATTCCGGCATAGGTCGCTTCCCGAACAGCTTCTAATAACTTATCGTATTTATTATCGAAGGTCCACGTGAACGCGCAGTCGATGATGCGGCCATTGATGTGGGTTCCGAAATCGATTTTGCACACGTCCTGGGCGTTGAAAACAGTTGGGTCTCCTGCATTCGGTGTGTAATGAGCCGCAACATGATTCAGGGAGCAGCCAGTGGGGAAGGCGAGACCCGCCTCGAGTTTGTTCTCTTTGATCAGCGTCCGAGCCGTGTTCTCCAAAGTCTCGCAGATGTGTATCATATCCATTCCCGGCTTAATGTATCGTTGCATGTACTGCCGTGTCTGACGGTGAACTTCGGCTGCGAGACGAATCTCTCTGTACTCCATGTCGGACATGGCATCGCGAGCTTTCTTTTCCGCAGATGTCATGCGATTTTTTGCAGTCTGGTCGTTGAGCATGTCTTTCGGCGTTGGGTGTTCGACGATCTCACCAGTAGGAAAGTTGCCATCAGGGAACAAGTCGATTACCGGGATCGACGGCGGATCGGTCTGAGCCTTGACTTTCTTCTTCCTGTTGCGCTTCTTTTTCTTCTTGCCGGCAGCATCGGGCTCGCCCTCGGCTCCGGCGACGTTATCATCGTCATCGTCATCATCGTCAATTTTGGCGTTCTCGACGCTCTTGATTATTCCGTCAGTATCGTTCGTACCGTTCGATTCGGCAGCTGTTGTGGGCGGTTTCTTCTTCTTCTTCCCATTCATTTCCTTCTCTGCGGTTAAGACTGGCTCGACTTTCGTTTCGCCACTCATGTTGAAAACTTGTGAGCAATTCGGCTCGGGAATCGGAAGTTCGCACGTTCTCGCTAAGAATCAACGAGGTTCGAGCAGCCACACCAACAGCGCTAACACAACGACGTCGTAGAGAATAGAGAGGAAGGATCTGATCAGCAGCAGCACAAGTATTTACGAATTTTCCCTAGACGTCGCGTCGTCTGCTTTCGAAATCGCCCGCCAAGTCTTCTCGTTCCTTCGAGAATGGGGGAAAGATGGGATATGATGAGTCGAACGATAGCCCCGATCGATTTGCCATTTCTCGATAATTGATCAACGTTCCATCGCCGGCTCGATCGGGGTTCTGATGAGAACCTTCTCTGCGCGGTGGGGCTGATGTGATGATTTCTACTTCGCGGAGATTCGCGCGCTAAAGCTACTGCAGCTCTCTGACGGGTCGAACTTCAATCATATCATGAAATAGACAGGTACGGCTTCAGGCCGTTCTTTCCGAACTCACATCGAACCTCTAAACGGGAAAAATAATCCGACTTGTCTGATGACAGTTGTCTGATGACAAGCTATTCTTGCGTCTTGGAGTTCTTCTCTTTCAGAAGCTCGAAAATGCTCAGCTTGAGAGTGTATTCCTGGGAACTATTGCAGAGGTCAACTCACGATCGGAGATTCCTTGGAGCGTTCGAGGCTGGGAAACTCAATGGAGCACGTCAGGAGGACTATCCGAAAAATTGGGCTGCGGTAACTCTGGAATTGGGAAGCGCTGAGCTCCGAGCTAAGAGAGAGCCATTCAAGAGCCTTCGCCTCGGAAGAAAACGCTGAACGGTGTTTCAGAAGGCCGGCCATTGATCGAGAGTTGTTTCAGACGGTCGGGCATCGAGATTTCAGGTGCACGAAGTTCCGGAGCTCTGTTCTTCGAGATCTGCCTTTTTCGCCTGGGAGCAAGAGAGGTATCTCCACCCAACTCCGGATTGTTCCCGGTCGTGCTTCGGGGTCCATGGATGAGATGGAAGCTCCGAACCCGGAAGTTGAGGACCCACCTTATTGGGCCTTATTCGTCTGAGCGATGCGGGTCAGATGTGGGACGCAGCATCAAAAATATCCATGGTCAATTGATTCCTCCATCATCAGCGCAATCTGTCGTCACCCGGAGATGGTAACAAAAGCCTCAAAACGGAGCGTTCAGTCAAATCCGACGAACCTACCTCACTCCCAACACCCCCGGACCCTTTCCTCGGCTTCTGCCTCGACTCGGTCGCGATGCAACTCTCAATGCCAATACACGAACGAAATGAAATCTGAGACGACAATCTTTCTAAGAGTGGCTCCGAATCTCTCTCTTCGCATTACAGTTTTCTCTTGGTGGGTGAGAGTCTCACCACGATGATGGGATTCCCAGGTCGCCGTTGTTCTTCCATCGCGACACTTTTTTCCAGAGCGGAAACCAACTTTGCAACTTCGATTCGGGAATTCAGCTGCCCTCCGCTTCTCGCGATTATTTCTCATGGCTATCGGCGAACCACGGTTCGGCGACTTCTGGCTCGGCATTATATATTGATAATGTCACCACGTTAGTCTCTCTCGAGATTGCTCAGGGTTGATCACACAAGCACAGTCGTCTCGACCTGCTGCCCTCTGTCGGCGGCGCGGTGGTGAGCGACAACGCGGTGAGCTTGGACGAACCTTTCCGGCGATGTGCAAAACTTATCACGCCTTCCCTCGGGCGTTCCTGGAGGGATCGTGCGGGCCTTGCCGGACACATCTCCCTGATCCGCGATTCGGATTCCATTCGAGAGAGGAGAAAAAATGCCAGTCTAGACCCTTTCTTGAGCTCACTCAATCACTTCCAAGCCTTCCCGCGGAAAGCCAGCGTTTCGGAGCTATGCGTCGCGATCAATTTTTCGAGCGTTCCATGAGTCGGGAGGCGTTTGCTGCTACTTTTCTGAAGCACCGCTCCACAGATTGTTTCGCTATCTGATTCCGAGTGGTCTGAGGAGTACGTCGATTTTCCAAAATAGGGTGGCGAAACGGCGAGTCTGTGAGAACATGATGTTTCCGCATTGGTATCGGCTTTGAGTCCGCACAGTCCATTCTGGATTCGGACGGGTGGATCAGACGAGATTCCGACATGAATTCGCGTTTCCTCATCTATGTGCTCGTGCCAGGTCTCTTGGTTCCGACCTGCATCCTTGCTGTGTGTCTCAATCTCATGGTGCTCGTCGTGCTGAAGTTTTCCTCCCGCATGCGCTCGACCTCGAACACTCTTGTCTTCAGTCTTGCTCTGGCCGACCTGATGCATGTCGTCATCTATACCCCTTCGAAGATCATCCAATATCATTATTGTGAGTCAGCGTACCTTCACAGAATGACCGGCGCGAAATCATAGATCGGGCCGTTCCTAGTCCACGTCCCCGTCCTTATCGAGGGAGGTCCTCGTGATCTCTTCTCAGTTTCAGTCATTCATTTCCAGTCGACATCTGGATATGGGGAGAATGGGCTTGCCGTGGTCTGATGTACATCAGGGACGTCTCGTTGTGTGTCACCCAGTACACATTGGTTTTGATGGCACTGAACAGGTATAAGTAAATCGCATGCTGGTCGTATCCCTTCTCCCCGCCCGTTGCGAATAGCGGCAGCGTAACGGGACACGAGTTGCGTTGGACGTGAGCTTCTCCGACCCCTTCACCCCAACGTTTCGCTTCCTTTTGTTCCCCTCTGTATCCCTCCGTCCCCTAATCCAGTCTCGCAAGAATCTTTCAACCCGAAGATCGGAGATCACTTGGTGGTCGGAGGCTTCCTCCGAGACTCCTCGAAATCTCGACAGGTATCTCGCAGTGGGCTTCCCCTCGAATCGGATCACACGTACTCTCCAGAAAAATCTGGGGAAAGCAGCTTTGGCTGTGTGGTTGTTGACACCAGCAGCGAACCTCTTTGGCGTCTTCGTTTACGGCTGTGAGTAGCGACTCGTTCCAGACGGACAAGGACATTGGAATACGTGCCGTGAGTGGGGAGCTAACGAAATACTGTCCCAAGCGAAGTAGGCAAGCATCCCGGCACAAACTCGGACATCTGTACGTTCCTCTACTTCGGCTGGTTTTTCGAATTTCGCCTCTTCGTGTTCCTGATATTTTCCGCTATACCGGTCTCTTCGATAACGATCTTCTACGTATTGCTGGCGATCAAACTCCGCACCGGAACCAGAACCCAAGAAACTCCCAAAGCGAAACGCGCAGCTCGGATGGTCTTGGGATTCGTGATTTCTTTCATCGTTCTCTCGATGCCACTTCAGGTCGAACCCCTCCCCTGAGCCCGGAGAAATCGCTTTCGATATCGACATCCCGCGTTCGCTCTCATGGTTAATCGAGGATTCTTTCGTCAGGTGATGACGCTGTGTTTCTCGGCGGGACTATTCGGATCCGATGATACTTTGGACAATGACGCGCTGAATTGGACCACCCTGGTTCTACTTATCTGTCAAACTCTCACTCAATTGAATTGTATCGTTGATCCGTTACTGTTCAGTTTCATGAATACCGCCTTCAGACAAGAAGTGCGGTAAGTTTATCCAAGACTCCTGATGGTAAAAATCATATTCCGGGATCGAAGTCTCTCTGGCGCGCGTGTGCTGACCCCGTGAAAGCAGAATACCGTGATCAACTGTCTGTGTAGATTTTCTCGCACCCCCAGTCAAACGACATATCTCTCCTTTCAGTCGTCTCCTCTGCAGGAAAGGACACTCACGTCGAGAGTGCCGTTGCGGTCATCAAGCTACTGACGACACTCCATTCACCGAAACCGTGGCGTTGACATCGGTGACGCGCGTCGACGTGTCCTGAATAGCTATCGCACCCTATTTCTCGCGAGCGGCCATCAAGGACAAGGGCTCACTGAGCTTCTTTCCAAATCATAGGAGCGATCCGGTAGGGCTCGGTTCCACAAATCTTCTTCCGACTCCACGGAGCGTTCCCGTAGCCCCTGGAAATCCCCCAAGGATTCACCGTCTATAGCGTCGAGATGATGATCAATGAAGATCTCTATCAATTTGTACATACACTCGTCGATTTGTCATTCTGAGGGAAATTCATACGCCCGTTTATTCATCGAATATTTGCGCTGGAATAACCAACACGACGCCGGACCGCTCGCGTAATGAGAGCTCACTATGGAACCTCATTCCCGCCCCATGGGGGATCGAGGCCCCGGGGACAGAAGACACCTTCCTGCTGAACGGAGGATCACGCAAATCCCGCACGCAGATCTCCTGCGGTCGATCATCTCTATGTGTTCGTCGACGCTCCCGCAAACTCGCGAATCATCGGTTCATCTATTCCCATATGAGTGAATGATTCGCATCCTGACAACTTATCTGGAGGATTAATGAAGTTGACTTCATCTGGCTTGGCTTGAAGATGGTGGTCTCTTTAATGAGATGCTCGATCGAGGGCATTAAATTTTATCAATCACCTACGATAGCTTTTCGGGGAGACCCGCCCATCGAGGGGAAAATTAGCGGGCTTGTGAGACAGCAGACCCGCGAGTCATCGAAAATCCAGTATTTTATTCGAAAGGGCAGAAGGTCCGCTGGTGCCCACCGTCTCTCCCTCGTCGCTCAAGCTACCTGGAAAATCGAGCTAACTCCCTCTAGGAGTACTAAGACCGGGTTGCAGGTGATCGACCTCTTGAACACCTTGCCTGCCATTGACGAGCGACGGATCGTAATCATGATGAATGATTATTGGGGATCTAGTCCCCCGTACCCCGGTAGAGTGTTGCGGTAGCCTCCACTCTTCGTGTCCCGTTCCGCTTGAGCCGATACACAATTGATCGAACGCATGCTCGCGAGCCTGGTATACCTACGCGATAATGACCACTCTGGAGGGATATCGACTTTCTTGTGATTCACGTGGAAGGGTTCCATGATACAGGGAAATCATTCGAAAATGCGCGCGAGTGCCAGACGACATCAGGCTCGGCGGTCTTCTGAGTGAGCACCGCCGTCGTCGACAATCAATATACGTGGAATCGTATCACGCGATTTTACCGCGCGCCAATCCGCCTTGACTCTGCCGATCACAAATGCGTTAACCTCAGCCGTGAGCAGCATCGTGAATGACCTCGGCTAGGATATTCCTTTTCGACTATTCTTCGGTTCTTCGTTCGGGACTCGGGACTCTTTCTTCTGCGCGTAAACATCAGACGATGATGGAATGATTTTTTCTCAGCGAAAATTCACGTGGTGCTGCAACTCACTCCGCACACCCGTGAATAGAGTGCTAATCAGCTGCATGGCGCCTTCTTCTGCTCTGCGGCAACCTTTAGCTCAAACAAAAGGATTAGGTCGATCGAGCGCACGGCTCAAGTTAGCCGACTGGCTCAGAAGAAATCGATCGCGGCCCAACTTCCGCCGCGATAATGAAAAAATATCTAATCTGGTTCGTTCACGAACATGTTGAATTTCGACATGCCGAACTTCAATCGCTCATCGAGTTGCTTGGTGCCAAACTCGAGTTCCTCGAGCGGAAAATCGACGGCCGGAGACTCTGGATGGTCGACACGAGGTGAGTTTTCCGTCACGGCATTCCAAACTGAACATTTGACAGTTGCTGGTTCAGAACAGTGTCGGGGGGTTAGGAACTCGGAGCTATCCGTTCCGTCATGTTCTGCGTCTCCTTGCCCCCTTCAAGTATGCGACCAGAGATTCTATGCTTTTCCTTGCGGAGCAGAATCCCTGGCAGGCAGGAGAGACATACTGACATTGTAACCCAATAACAGCGAGGAATTCGTCGAACCTCCATGGATGATTGTTGCCTGCGAGGAGCTGGAGCACATTCTCAACATCTGCAGAAGGAGTATTCTGATCCGATACGTCATAGAGCTTTATGCGCAAGGAGAATCCTTCGAAGAGGTGGTCAACGAGCTGAAACAACAGGACATCGAAGCTGTAAGAATTTTCGACATGTACCCCTGCCAGGGATTCGAGACCAAATGGGACCAGGAGGGATCTATTCCGGGACATTTATGGCGATTAGTCCAATATCTAACAGCGGGATGCGGAGTGACTCATTCAATCCGTGAATTGGTTCCACAGCACGACGATCTATTCAAGTTTGAAGTAGAGGCTTTTGGAAGAAGGAAGATTTCGCGGGAAGAAAAGGTGGCGAAGATGGAGAGGCTGAGTTTCCTGCCGCTCAACGGGAGCGTGAGTCTCAAGGACTACAAACACGCATATTACATAATCGAATACTACGGTCAGGAGAACAACGTGTTCCGGGAAAATCCTCTGAGAGTCTTCTTCGGTCGATTGGTGAGGCTTCCATGAAAACCCGCTCTGGAATTCCAAAGCTCTCGGTGGCTCTTCTGCACCCTTCAGCAGCTCACGACGGGGGCGATTTCCCATGAATCGAATTCTTTCAATGGATGATTTTCGAAACCGGTATCGCTCTAGGTGGCGGAAGGACGGCGAGATCTTGTTGATTGGCTCTCCCTGAAGAAACGTCTCTTCATTGCAAATACCTCGATGGATCCCACCTTGTCGATTGTGATGTCGAACATGGCGAAAAGCAAGGAAGCGGACCTGGTTTTTGATCCTTTCGTTGGTTCCGCGAGCTTACTTGTTGCTGCGGCCCTGCATGGAGCGTATGTACTCGGTAGGTTCCCCATTTTCCCTTTGAGCCTGACTCGGCTTATTCTGATTCTCCGGAATTCCTGAGTATTCATCATCTGACCTTCGGATTCTTTCCCTTATTGCTCGACTGGCTCACACAGGAATGGATATCGACTTTCTGTTGTTACACGGCCGCGCAAAACCCTCTCGATGCAAAGTCGAGAAGCGCCAGGCAGGTGAATCGGTGTACAACAATTTGAAGCAATACGGCGTGGAGAAAAAATACTTGGATGTGATCGTCGGAGACTCGTCTCTCCCCGTTCTGAGACATTTGACGATGAACGCGATCCTAACTGATCCGCCGTACGGTATCCGGGAAAGCACGGAACGGATAGGAACGAGGAAAAATAAATACGGGGGTTTGAATCACGCGTAAGTCTCTGTCGGTCTCGAGTTCCTGCCAGTGAGATCTTTCTTCCCTGGGGTATGGGGGGACCATCGGATGACATGTATCGGAGTTGAGTTTCTTTTCCAGACCGGAGGACCATTATCCCTCGAAAGTATCCTACAATCTCGACGAGGTGGTGAGAGACTTGATGAAATTCTCGGCAGCGACTCTCCCGATAGGGGGCCGTCTCGTTTTTTGGATACCCGTTTTCCGAGAAGATTTCATCCGAGATCTCGACAGAGGCAAGGCTTGTCCGAAGCATCCATGTTTCTCGATGGTGGCTTGCAGCGAGCAACGACTTACGACTCATTCTTCGCGGATGCTCTTCACCTTTGAGAAAGTGAGGAAACTGTCTTGCCTTTATGGCTAGGGAGGGGCCTTCGGACTTCCTTGGAATCCCTCTCTGAAATAAAAAGTCTTCGATATACAATGCAATGATGAATGTTCCGCAGGTGAAAGAGCTCGAGGAATCGGACCTCCAGAAACTTTCCGATCCGTCTCTGTCCCTTGACCAGGATCAGCAATCATTCAGAGACAAGTACTTCGGAAAGTACGACCCGAGGATTTCGCCTTGAGTAGGTCCTGAAATCCGACGTACTGTCTTCTACATCTTTACATAATATATGTATTTACCGATGTTGCTGCCTTGTAAACAGAGTGACTACATTAAAACCATGCTTTTCGCAATGGAAGATAGCCTTTCGATTTGTTCTTGCGTTCGTATCTTGTCTCAAATTAAGGAACTTGTATCCTTCATGATGGGTTATCTTATATGGGACTTCATAGGAGCTTTCTGGGTTTCCACTCGCTCCCTTCCGATCTGATCCTCTTAGGCGAGACTCCAGAACCGCGCGGGAATGTGTGGAAACTCCACCGAGTCTTCCCCTGACGAATCGCGAGGAGCTGAACATTCCGGATCATCCAGAGAATGGGTCCGGCTCTCGAGAGGTCTAACCCCGGGAAAGTTTAGTGGAAGTTGGCTGACCGTACATGGTGATCTGACGGTCGCGCATCCTTCTCCGCGCAGCCTTTCGAACAGTTGTTTGTGAATGCGGTAAAGAGGCGGCGTGTTTCTCGACGATAGTGACCGGTCAGCAGCTCGTTGCGAATAATCTCAAGCCGCAACATGCATCCGCGACCACATAAGAGCGAACCAGGGTCTGGCGAGCAACGCTGGTGGGAAGATGCGCAGCTTTGGCTTACGTGCGCGCGGCAGTGGTGGTGGTCATGTGTTCGCATTTGGCCTGCCTGCAGCCGCTCATCTGGCGGGCTCTAACAGAGCCGCCATCTTGCCTCGCGATCAAGTGGCAGGCAGGGGACCCACAGCAGCAGCGCCCTCTCAATCTCCTTGAAACAGCATTGTGAGACCCGCTGTCGAGTCGACCGCTGCTGTGCTTAAAGTTCTCCTAGTCTTTCCCGGAAGAAACGAAGTGAAACATGTCGATCAAGAAGATCTTCGCCCGTCAGATCTACGACTCTCGCGGAAACCCGACCGTCGAAGTCGATCTCACCACCGCGAAAGGAGTTTTCCGTGCCGCTGTCCCGTCCGGAGCGTCGACGGGTATCTACGAAGCCCTTGAACTTCGCGACGGGGACAAGAAGGTCCACCATGGGAAAGGCGTCCTGAAAGCGATCAAGAACGTCAACGACATCATCGCACCGGCGCTCCTCAAGGAGAACTTCGATGTCAAGGACCAGCAGAAAATCGACGATTTCATGATCAAGTTGGATGGCACCGACAACAAAGACAAGCTCGGTGCCAACGCCGTCCTCGGTGTCTCGATGGCGGTCTGCAAAGCCGGTGCCGCCGAAAAGGGAGTTCCTCTCTATAGGCACATCGCCGACCTCGCGGGTAACTCGAAAATCATCCTTCCCGTCCCCGCGTTCAACGTCATCAACGGAGGCTGTCACGCCGGAAACAAACTCGCCATGCAGGAGTTCATGATCCTGCCGACCGGAGCCGCGAGTTTCTCCGAGGCCATGCGGATGGGTAGCGAAGTCTACCATCATCTGAAGGCTGTCATCAAGAAGAAATTCGGCCTCGCCGCAACGGCTGTCGGCGATGAGGGCGGCTTCGCTCCCGATATCCAGGACAACCGCGAAGCGCTCGAGCTGATCAAGGAAGCCATCGAGGCCGGCGGATACACCGGCAAAATCGAAATCGGAATGGATGTTGCAGCGTCCGAGTTCTGCCAGAACAAGAAATACAATTTGTCTTTCAAAGCAGCCACACCCGTCCCCGAGTCACAGCACCTGACGTCGGCCCAACTGCAGGCGTTCTACGAGGACAACATGAAGAGCTTCCCGATCGTGTCCATCGAGGATCCTTTCGACCAGGACGACTGGGAGGGATGGACCTCGCTCACAGCTGCGACTCCGATCCAAATCGTTGGCGACGATCTCACCGTCACCAATCCCAAACGCATTCAGATGGCTGTCGACAAGAAGGCCTGCAACTGCTTGTTGCTTAAGGTCAACCAGATCGGATCAATCTCGGAATCCATCAGCGCTCATCTCCTCGCCAAGAAGAACGGCTGGGGAACGATGGTCTCCCATCGTTCGGGTGAAACCGAAGATTGCACCATCGCCGACATCGTTGTCGGTCTCAGCACCGGACAAATCAAAACCGGAGCCCCTTGCAGATCCGAGCGTCTTTCAAAATACAACCAAATCCTCCGCATCGAAGAGGAGCTCGGTGCGGCGGCTGTTTACGCCGGCAAGAACTTCCGGAAACCCGAGTAAGGTCATCCGCCTGAAGATGAAGGGACTTCCTGCGTGACACCGATTCGCGGGAAACCGCGCGAAACCACGCTTCCTTGCATCGGCTTCTCGAATTACTGCGGTTGAATTCTAGTCTAAGTTTAATTTTAAGTCGCACACTGTGTTGAATCATCAAAAAATAGAACTTAGATCTTCGGACCGCGTGGAAAGAGTCCGAGGTTCCATGCCGTCCGTTGACCATGGGGATGTTTGAGGGATGCTTCCGGTCTCTCTCGGAGCAGTGGCAGTGATCAATAAAACGTAGACTATCAACGTCGAAATCGATGTTTTTCATTAGTGTCGAAAATGAAGGACGCAGACATCCCTTATGCCGAATCGAAACAAAACGAGAACAAAATGAAAACACGCCGCGATTAGGAAGTCCGCTCGAAAACAGCGGGATCAAACTGAGATAGGACGTCTCAAAACGTCTGTCATTATCTCATAGATTCCAGGCGACGCCTACCCTTGAAGGCCCGACCTTGAGGAAGGAATGATATCAATCTCGAGCAATCGATAGGGGCGAAGCTGGGGAATTCCCGTTTTCAGCGGTGCCCATATAATCCCATCAACGCTCATCTCACAAGGAGGCGAGTCGGGGAACAGATTCGCTGCGGAAGTCGTGCCGCGCATATACACCATCCTATTACAACATCAAACGCGCAGCAGTCCCTGATCGGCGCTCGTGAAGTAGAGGAGGGTCACGAGCGGAAGACATCATACACCGAGAAATTAGAATCCAAAACCTCTTTCATTTATTCAGTTGATCACATGATCTCATCTCATAACAGGTGCCGCTCTTCGAACGGCACAAAATCCAGTCGTCGACACTTTGGGATGCTCGAAGTTTTCTCACGCATACATACCTACCGGGACCTCCGGCGAATTTCGGTAGATGTGAGGCTCTTGCCTCACATATTCAAACCCCATTGCTGACGAAATTATTTTTCCTATTTTTTCCAAATGGCTATGCTACGATACCGAGTGTCTTCGATTCAGAAGCCTTGTCACCATTCCTCAGAGTGTACTCTCTCCGCTCAGGAGAACCCTCGCTATTCTCACCCATCAGCTCGGTCGTCGATCCCCCTGACCTCCCCGCGAAAGACCCAGGTTACATGGTACGGAAGTTTTTCACTGAATACTATCGATTAACAAAGACTTTCGCAAGACCCTCACCCACCAGCCTTGCTCTTCGATCGCTGACGGGGAGTGACCAATGCGTCGTGTCTCGCTAGAGGAATCCTCCGTGGGGAAATGTATCTTCCATCTTCTTAATGCTGTCTCATTCTATCACAATAGCACGGGGCTCCCTTTTCACAATATTCATCATCATATCGGTGACTCCGCGGAAGTGAGCGGAATAAATCCCCGTTCGGCCTGGAGCTCCCCGTCGGTCAAGCCTTTGTATCACGGTACTCCTCGCAAGAGTCTGCCTCTTCAGTTATCGCGTGAAAACCTGGCACCATCGATTTTAGTCGGGGAGAAATTGAGAGTCTCAGGGCGGAGAATCAGGAGAGATACACCAGTGAGTTCACGACTAACCATCATGTTTCTCTCAGAACGGGAATTGCAAAAAAGCTGGACTACTACTTGATATACGTGATCGATGTTTCCGTTTTTTCTACATGTAGGAACCGTCGACGTCCGTCGGTATCTGATCGACAGACGGATTCACGACGAGCGCACTCCGGACCATTGCTGTGAGCTCCTTGTGTAAAGCGATTTCCCGAGCCGCGTACTCGAGATCGAGGCGGCCGAGGCGCGAGCTGGTGAATCGGTTCTTCCACGCCACTATCCTCATCACATCGAAGAACATAGATCACAACATGATTTGTGATCATATTTGTGCGACATCGACCTTATCAATCCGAAGATACAGTTTGCTCTCATTTGTCTTCGAGCAATGCGAAGCTCCAAACCTTGTTGCTGAGAATCTCCGTTAATATTCCGGTGAGTGAAACCAAATGTCCGGTTTGTATTATACGTCGCTTTCCATGAGCTCCAGTTGGAGGTCGTCCATGTTCGGCATCACGAGAACCCGCTGGAATTCCTGAACGGGGGAGAAGGGGACGGCTTAAGCGCCTCGAACGCAGTTCATGCTTCGTACGACGGCTGTTGGCCGGAGCTCGCACCAACAGCATACAATATCGATGCACTGACATCAAACTCACTTGGAACAACGCTCTTTCTATTACAGCGGCCAGCTTCTGCTTGAACGAAATTTCTCTAACGCCCATTTGAGGGGTTGCCTTGAACTCGATCCTCGGCACACTCCGGAATCCATACCTGGAAAAGAGGTTTTTCTCTCAGCAATCGAATTGTCGCCTGCGCCAAGGCGGACAGGTGACCAGCTATTTTCCATTGAGGATAGTCTGATTGGTAGAGCGACGTCCGGGCAACAATCCTCCGACTCATCCGAACGCTTTTCTTCTAAAGTACGCGCTCTCCGAAAATAGCTCACCACAAGCGGTCAGTTGGCGGAGGAGGTATATTCAAAGCCAAACGACCGACGAGTGAAGTTAATTGGATGGTGAGCTTCAAGTCGGTGTTGGAGAACTCCTCCATCTTCCTCTTCACGTAGGCTGTATCCGTAGCCTGCTGGAATAAACTCCACTGCGAAATACGGTCCACCATGTCTAGGATTCTTTTGGAAGTTGCACCCTGTGCTTCCTCCAGCTCGGCGTCATCTGAAAACCGAATGTTCAACTTAGCCAAAGCTCTTCCGAGGAACCCAGACTCGGTCTCGGCTGCCAGGGCCCAACTCGTTCGCCATCATTCTCGACAAGCGTCCGGGATAATTTCAAATTTTTTGCAGTCGTTCCCTCGCTCGAATCGACAGCTTTCGTCAACAAGAACAGCATCGAGCAATGACAATGAGCGCAAGATGAAGTCCCGGCTCATTATACGGAACAATCAAAGGGATGATTCATTTCACAATTTTCTCACTTGGCTGGGGGCCGCTGCTGATGTCATCATCGTCGTCCTCGGAGGGGGGTTCGTCATCGTGACTCAAATCCATCGAAAGCGTCATCTCCTGCATTTCTTGTTCAGTGCCGGCAGCGATGGGTTTATCATGCAGACCTTGCTTTTTCAGTTTCATGAGATTGAGTTTAGTATTGACGGTGACTTGGAAATTCCCGTTGTAAGCGAGTTCGAGATCTAGCCAAACGCCGGTGTTGGGACAGTGAACCGCTGAGGATGTCCTCCGGATCAAGGGTATGGACTCTCCTGAGAAGAATATCCATAAACCGTTCAGCATCGGGCTCCCAAGAATGAATCGCCATACTGGGGCGGCGCTACGAATCGGATCGAGCAGAACCTGTCTCCAGACAGGCTCCGGGCACTCACCCAGGTCGATGTCTGTGATAGTGAGTTCCTCCATGAAGAAGGGCACTTTGATTTTCGACAGTTTCTTCTGGAACTTGGCCCGTACAGCCTCCGCCCACCGAGGCTGGGTGAAGAAATCGTAGAGAATTCTACCGACGACGAGATTCACCCATTGGGTATCTCCGTCGCGGTACTCAAGTACCTGACAGGGAAGAATGAAAATACCCCCGTGAAAGATCCTCTCGACCGTGGGATTAGGACCGAAGGATTGTCCCGAACGTCCGTCCCCTTCTCCTGTGCTCATCACTCACCATTGATGGACAAGACGGTTGGATCGCGAATGTTTTCTTTTCGTCCGGTGATTTGTCTGATGAAACTCTGTTGTATAAAGCTAAGTTGTTCATGTACACGAGGAAGTTGACAGCGGGAGAGGCCGTGGGGCTATCACTCTCATCCCTGCTCTTCGCCTATTAAAAAAAAACGGAAAGATCGACGAATTAGAAAAATTTCAATTTTCTCGTTCCATCTTCATACGACGAACGATCGATCGGTTTCCGCTGCATAAGGAACACCGATCCAGGGTGAGATAAATTCGCCCACCGATTCCTCCTCCTTTTCTGCGTCTAGAGTGCGGTTGATCTGGTTTTTCAGGTGAAGCTCGCTAGCGTTCTTCAAGAGACGGAACCAATGTTCCTTATCACGGCATGTTCTAGCGAACAGAAATACTTCTTTGGCTTCCTCGGTGCCTTGCCCCGGAACGCTGATTGCGATTGGATATTTCTTGTTCCAGATACGTGTCGCAGACAGGCCTGCAAAGAATCCAGGAGCGACTGTTTCAGGAAACTTCGGTCAATGATCCGATTCAAGCTGCTCGAACTGGATTTAGAGCGCTCGATTGGAACCACGAGAAAGTTATTCGATTCGAGGAGCGGAACTAGAGCAGAGGGACACTCACCTTCTGGCAGCAACGCTACGGTAGCTCCCTCCAATTCGAGGAACCATTGCTTTCCCAGCCATACAACCGAATTTATGTCTTTGTGCTTTTCGTTCCACATCGCGCGTCTTGGGAGTTTTTCTTTCGGCGTTCGGATACGGAGCGTTGTCCCCGTCAAACGAACGTGCACGGAATGGCAGTGACTGCCCAGATGAGTTCTCACATCGTACGGCTCTCCTGCGGATAGTGCATTCAACCAGCCTTCGAGGAACCCGATCTCCTGGGTCCGTGGCATTAGCAGCATACTGTTCGGCGCTCCAGTGGCGTCCGGAATCTTCCTCGAGGCGAGCTCGGGCGGCCAGAGAAAACCGGATATGATGCTGTAGGTCCAACAGAGCAGTGAGGCTATGATGAAGCCTTGCATGAATGAAGGTAGGGGCACACAGAAGAGACACGTCAGAACGGCACATAGAACCCCCGCGGTTCTCAGAGAGAGATCGCGGATTTCTTCGACGATGTCTGGGAAAGCTTTGGCTATGTAAGCGGAGTCCAACGAGAGCCAACGTTTCTTCACGCGAGCGAAATCTCGGTAGAAAATGCTCTCCTGAGATTCGCCCGCATTGGGGAAGTCGATCTGAAAAGCGAGAGGCGGATTCAGTGAAACAGGGGGCTTGTCAGAGGAGTCCGGCCCCGCTTTATTGGAGGAAGAGCCGGTAAACATGCGCCGATAAACAGTTGGGATCTAGGGAGTTTCGTATTTTGCGCGATGAGCTTGAACCATTTTCCGGTCCAATGTCTCTCGATGCGACCCGACCCGCCCAATCCCGTGAGTGGAGTGAAGGCAGACCCAAGCAATGCGAGCTTCCGTGGAAACGGATAAGGGAGCCGAGGCTTAGTACTAAACAGGCTATATTTGCATTTGCTCGTTTAGACGTCAACTGGCGATAAAAGCTGATCAGAGACCTTTCACGTCGATTGGGTAGTCAAGCCAACGTCAGAAGGCGAACCCCAGGGACGAATTTCGCCGAATAAAGGTCCTGGGAGCCTAAGTATGATGAGCTAAGGTCTCCTTGGAAGAGAGCGTAACAGAGAGAGGTGTTCCATCGACTCGAGCCCCGAGACTCGAAAAAGTCTCGGCATATAAATACTTTCCTCGCGCCCGTGTACCATCCGTAAGCACACTCGATCCCCGATGAGGTCCCGTCAGCCCGAGCTGTCGCCGGTTCCAACCCCGGTCTCCCAGAGACGTTTCGGTGAGACTTGGAGAATTTTTGGAGTTGGGGAACTCCGAGCTCTCGAAGCGGCATTATTCTGGCAGAACTTTCGCGAGCTTTCATCGGATCTCCCTCGGACGCCAATCAAGCATCGAATCGTAAGACAGGCGATTCGACGAATATCTGACCATACCAGCGAGAGGGAAATGCGACCATGCGTCAAGCGGAACAGACGAGAACTGTAGGTATCTCCAGTCGTAAGACCCTCTTCCTATTCGAGCCACTCACCTTCTCCCACGAGTCATCTTCCGAGATGAGTTCAGGAACGATTCTTAAGGTGGGTGACTTATCGTTGTTGTCTGTTGTTTCCTGCATAGAACACGGATAGACGGCGCTGAGTTCAAGCCATCAACGGCGCGTTTCAAGAATGCGGAACTCGGGGTCGCTGGGGGTGGGGGAGGCAATCGCGAACGGAAGTACGACCCGGAATCCGCCCAACGATTGTTTACCTGTTCGAAAGACATGGTCTCCGGAGAGGCTTCCTCGGCTCTTTCGACGATGTCGTCATCTTCCCGATCCTCCTCTAAGCGTTGCTCGAAAACTCCTTTTGCCACCACGGGCATTGATTGTGAGCGCGATCTTTTCTCCTCGATCTTCTTCACGATTTTGCCTTTGATACCTGCGAATCGATGCTTTCGTCTGAATCTCTGTAGCGCGTTTTTCATGATGCTGCTTAAACTGTGATGCTTCGAGAGCGGAATCGAGATGTTATTGCCTATGTTTAGGTGTTCAACTATCTCGGTGACCAGGACAATAAAAATCCACAACGACGACGGCGGTGGCGGCCGCGGCAGATGATTTAAGCGGGTTTCGCGGGAGTTTTTCGCGCACACCTCGCGACATCGGGCCCGTGATCTCACGCAGCGATTGGCAATCGCCACTCGGTGCAAACGTCGAGCTGAGGCTTCCTACTCTCTCGGGCTCTATCAGCTTGTTCAGGGAACGACACTTCCGAGCCCGAATTCGACAGAGCCGACGCTGTGAGGCAGGCAGTATGCGACAGATAATTTCCAGTTCGCCAAATAACGCTTCCCTGCCCAGAGAATGATAGAAATGCCGAGGAGATCCTTCACGTTTTTCATTTACAAAGTTTCTTGGTTTGTGTGTATTCCGTGATGAGTAGTCTCCTTCGATTGATTGATTGAGTGATTGATTGCTTATCTCGCAACTTCATATGCTCTTATGATCGTTTTGAATCCAGAATACGGTTCTTGTTCTTAGATCTTGGGGTGAGACGCAACCCATGGAATTCATGAGGAGAATACCCACGGACTGCAAGTCGATAGAGGGGTGAGGAAACCAGATGATCATCCAATGAAAGAAAAACTGAGATCACGAGGCGCAGATCCCTGAGATTTATCATGGGAAGCCGGGACGAGACGGATATCCAATAAAAAACAATGTTGCATTCTAGGTGAACAGATCAATGATTTTCCGGCGTTGCCGGAGCCCGCCTTGAACACTCACCTCCGAACCAACTGCCGTCTCGGATTTCCGGTGAAGCGGTTTCTTTGTCCTTCTCGCGATTCTCTCCGCCCGGCGAGGGACTCCGAGATCTGTCTTTAATTTCTTTTTGCGGTTCTTTCAAAGTTTTCTCTTCTTTTTTGTCCTTGCCATCCTTCTGCTGGAGTTCTTTGGCTACGGTGGTCGTCTCTTTGCTTCTCTGTTCCTTGCCGCTCGCAGCTTGTTTTCTAAATCTGAGAAGGGAACGTATCGAATTGAAACTCCCAGTCTCCTCTCCCGAAAAATTCCCAGTTATGAGAAAACACAGAGGGTTCCCGATCGCATGGCGATATCCAGAACAGACATACATGTGATGCAGGGACACTGTTTGCTTCACGTCTCGACATACGATTTCTCGGAAGCGGCGCATACTGAACTCGTGAATGCTTCACTATATTGATAACAACAAATGGGGAGCAAGGATCAGGAGATACGAGTCGGACGAGCAAAGTCTCGGAATTATATACAGCGACATAGCACATGTGATTCTACGAGCTCCTTCGACGCCGTATTCCACGTTCGAATCAGGAATTCTACAGACCAACGCTACTCGGAGTCGGAGACAGACACCGGTCATCAAAACAGAAGTCGACGATAGAAGTCACGTTCGCGTGAATCGAGGGTCTGATTGAATTCTCTTCCCTGTGCTCAGTTTCGACGCGGCGCAACGAGCCATCGGAGAATCCGCATCGTTTTCCTCAAGCGTGGACCTCTCACCGAGACTCTGTAATAATTTTCACGGAAAATCGGCCCCGAGCGAAGGAAAACGACGCGCGAATATCCGAATTGCCGAGCTGCCGGAAACTCAAACAGCGGGACAACTGCCACGGGCCTCGCCCCGAAAAAATGAAGTATCGGACTCCGAGCCCGGATTCCCCGCGCACCTCGCTGCTGGAACTCGATCCTTCTCCCTCGAGTTCACCGCGCGACCCAAAATTTCAGACGATAGAAAACTCACCTGGAGACGAGGTCTTTGACTGGATTCGCCTGATGTTGCGGCGTTGGCTGCGGAGGCGGGCTCGGAACCTCCTGAAGGCCCTTGAGGCCGGAACTCAGGTCCTCATCCTCAATAAACTGAAAGCGAAGCGAATTTGCATTCGGGATAACCGCAGACTCGTTTACAGGCACGTCACGCGAACCCGACCGCCCTTCCCCCGCCGGAGTTCTTAACCAGAAACGTACCTAATCCGGTAAAACGGAAAACCGGACTTTCAAGAATATAGTCTAGGTCTTGACTTACTTGGCCTGAGACGTTTTGCAAAACACACGTCAGCGGCGTTGAGTCTGGCGAAGCCGGTAGGACCGGCGATGGCGGATTGAAAATTCCTTCAAGATCCTCTTTCTCTGGATCATAGCGAAATGCGGTCTCAAGCAGGAGACTACGCGATGCGCTCTCGCCTCCATTACTAGTGTTCTTTCCTGAAAAGAAGGAGAGCATTTCCTCATGTGTTGGAAACACTTCGCTTCCGCTTGTCGACGTCGGGGTGCTTTGGGGGATGGGGATTTGGGTGGGGCGGGGGTGGAGAGCACGTTGAGATCACGAGCGATCTTCAACTTCCTCTTCAACGAATCCTGCAGACGAAGTAGGGCGGTTGATTGAGACGTACTTGGGGAGGAATCCGCGCGTCGAAGCACGGTCACGAAATGGATCATTGACAAATTCTTCATATGACAGCCATGAGAGAAATGTGAGAGGATCGCAGAAAGGCATCAGCGTCTATTCTCCTGATAATCTGATTGAATGTTTTATCATTTCTTATTTCAGTGGCACGGAAGGAATAAGATGGAGGGTGCTCCTGAACACTGTTCAACGTGCAGACAAGATAGCCTTTCCAAATTATTCTCGATTGATAGTGAAAATCGCGCCTCGAAAACGCGAGAATTCGAAGAGTTTCCGATCTGTATCGGATTCCATCCAGATACAAGTTGCTTGTCGTATCCAAACTGCCATCCGAGATCACGCCGACTGCTGCATTATTTTCCACACACCGTGCTCCCTTTCTCATTCAAATCTCTTTTTCCTTACGCGAAAAATTCAAAGAAGAAATCCGGCCCTCCTGACCGTCAGCATGACGACAGCCCTGTGGCAAGCTGAAACGTCGGAGCTGGAGCCCGATCCACGGCAACGCTCGTGGAAGGTCACCAAGCGGAAATAATGCATGGAGTTGGTGACGCAAAACGCATAGATAATGTCTTCCAGGCAAGAACGGCTTCACCCTTCGCTTTGACCTGACTCCGATCCGAAGCCAGTCCGAAGATAAAAAGCTTTTCATGGTACGATACACCGCTCAATGCTTCACGTCACGCTCCATCGGGCTCCAGAGGATCCCGACGCCTCTCGTTCCCAAGCGTTTGGAAACTATGTATATAATTTCTAGGAACACTCATCGATACGCTCATCGAATGCGCAAGCTATCACTGACGAGTGAGACAGATAAGCTGTCTATTCTATTCGATATCCGAACGAAATCAGTAGTACAACTTTCGACGATTCGTTCGAATCGAGAGGAAGATATCACAGCAGATTGCCAAACACCATGAGTCAGTAGAATTGTGCCGCTACACGCAACCGTCATTGACAAAGGCTTTCCGAAAAGTTCCGAACTGTCGAAGGTCTCGCCAGCTAGTCGCCGCCGACAGCTCAGCCCGGCGGATGATCGAATTTTGTAGTCGGTTGCCGGAGCGTCAAAGAAAATGAGTCGGGAGTCTCGGAAAATCTCTCCAGAAGATCTCCTTCATGACGTACACCGATGACGCGCGCGAGAAGGTGACGGACAGCTTCCCGACGCCACGATAAAGCAAGAAATAATTCCCCTCTTGAGTAAGAACATCATCTGTCCGTGTGATTCGCCGTTTCGAAGCTCCCCGCGAGCCCTTGGATCATGGCTCGGCCTGAGTCTGATGAGATTAGCGAACACCGTTCGACGCACTCGCTCCAGCTGATCGTCGACGATGCATTGCGCTGCATGTTATCGCGATTCTCGAAGAATTGAGTTCAGTGCGAGTCGATGACTTTCTACAGGTTTCGACAGAGGCGGAATTTCTCATGAGTTTTGACGTCATTGAGATACTACTGAGACGCATTGACACATTGAGAGTCTCGGACGTATCAAAGCGCTCTCCAGTGATTACCATTTTCAGCACGCGAGGGAAAGGTTTCCATCGCTCGGAAGAAAGCCCAAGAACCACTCGGGAGATTACCAGCTCGACACAATTATCTGTGGGACCATTGTAACAAGAATCGTGTTTCCAATCGGCGTCCGAATTCCTTCAGCTGCTTTAGCTATCAGAGATCGGAGACGTCGTAGACTAAAAAATTCGGACGAGAAACTCCAAGGGAGCTCTTACGCGAAGCCAGCTGGTCGCCAATCATTCGGCTTAGGAGTGTCGGGCGACGACTGGTCCTCGATCGAGGGAACGATGCAGTGGAAAGAGATCGGACGTACCTTTAAACATGACTGGTGCTCTCCTAGATGCAAAGCTTTCACATCACAACGCATAAAATCTATGTGCACCGGTGGCGCAACGATCTATCTACGCGGTGGTGGCGAGCTACCAGCCGAACATCGCTCCTTCGAGATATCTGCCATTTGTTATGGCTGCTCGGCAGCAGCTCTCTTCCTTCCACACACATCAGCGGAACGATTCCTGCCGCGTGGGCGGGGCTTACGAACACCTGTTTCAAGAAAACACGTGTTTTTGAAGTTCTCGATCAGCTGTGAATGGGATCGGTGCCGCATTGACTGAAGGAAACGAACCAAACGGTATGCGGACCCTCTAATTCCGGGAGCGAGAGCCAGTCATTGGTGCGGTTCGAGGAGATCTACTTCCAGCCGTGATTCGATGAGTGTGGAAGTTGAACGCGGGTTTCCATCTCGAATCATCAGTGAGATGCCACGTCTTTTTTTCGAAGTTATTCCTTCACCCATATTTCTGGCTGGAGAAAGGATGTAAACAATAATATTAGAAGTTGCAAGAGTAGATCAGCTGTTGAATCTCAGGACTCAGGACACGCAGAGAGTCCTTGATTGCTCTCGATCCGTTTACGATCCCGAGCCCAGACTAGATCGACTTCGGGGCGGAATGCCTCCGTTTTGGAGACTGGTGCTGCGAACGCAGAGGCGCACCGCGGGTGAGTTCCAGGAGATAGAGTGACTCCTCGCGAGCCTCGATTCGTTTCCCCACTCAAAGTCTGCCTCCTTTCGCAGATGTATCCGTGAACCCAGTCAGATATCAGCATTGGGGTTTCGGGCATCGAGAGCGCGGCACGAGCAACTTGAAAATTGCCTACGGATCTACCCTGACGGTTTGGATATGCGCCATGCTATATTTCCTCTATGATAAGGAATTCGCTAAAAAAGTCTTCAAGGGCGCAATCCCGGAGATTGAGAGCGAGATCGATGAGGGTACCTACGCGGGCACGACATGAACTTTCTCCGCTGGTAAGGAGTGTGTTATAGTCATGATGATCGAAGAATAAACAGGAATGGAATAACAGTTCCAACTCGGATAATCTTGTCTATCTTCACGTTCGTGAAAGTGGCGTTCCGCGCGGCTGCTATATCAACGGGTCAGATGAGTCGATGGGTCGATAATGATAGAGCAGCCCGAGAAAAAGCTCTTGCGACTCTTGTTCTCATTTGAATTCATCCCCGGCTGATCGTACATTTGAACACCCAATAAACGGTGTCCCGGACTCACCTCCAATGCACATCCATTCACTCCGATACGTCAATTCATCCTCAGCTGGCGCTTATCCTGAGCTATCCACGGACTGATTCATCGCCTTCCCCCCGGCGTGAAAAGCCACGAAGACGATGGCCTCTTGCTCGGCGTCCAGGACGAGCGCTGGCAAAGAGATATCCGAGAACATCGCGATACTTATGTTGCTCTTGCTTTCGTTCCCGTTTCCTTTCGCGTCGATTATTGGGAAGCATCGCGGAGGACGGAGCTGAGCGGAACGAAGGGCTTCCTGGAAAAGGGTCCGAGGATCCATCAGGGGTCTCGAATCCCCTTCGCGGGGACCTCGGGGGTCGGTGAAAATGTTGTGATCCTTTGGAAAAATGTCTTCTATATAGCTTGTAAGAACATCGATCAGGCTCAACGCCTCGGTATTCCTCGCTGTGCTGGAAGGCTTTGTTCGATGGAACTCTAGAAAATATTCTTCGCCTGGAGGGGTCCCGAGCGCTCAAGACGCCGGAGGGGGTCCCGCGTCCCAAAAATATCCGGAACCGCTGGTCCAGAAACTCGGGGAATCTTTCTTCGATAACCCTTGCGGTGATCATTGCGATGGTAGCCTCAGAGTCGGGGCTGTGAGAGCCTCGAGAAATCTTGGCAGATATCTAGGTAGTTTCTGCCACTACTTGCAATACATATTCGACCCTGTAGGAATGGCAGGACTGATATCATCTCCAGGTGACTCCAGCGTCTGGAATCTCACGGATCTAACCATAGGTCCAAGTGGGCTATTTGTCCGCAGCCGTCGAAGTCAGAGGTTCCCAATCCTCCTCGGCTAATCGTGGGGACCAAAGAACATCCTACGCAGCCATCGCGCTACAGATGGCTGAGGAGCAGGCAGGGGACGCTCGCAAATCGAATCAAGGATCCGACCCTGGATGATGGAGTCGCTCATGGATCGCTTATAGCCCCAGAGCGCTACCGATGAAGACACTGGGGCTCCTCGGAACGGCAGATGGTTTCAGCGGTTTGTCTCGGGATAGGCGAGAAGTGCGAGAAAAGGGTTCTCCATTGCAGAATCGTCTGAACAGAATTCAGCCAGGAGATCTTACGTTCCTCCTGAACAGAACCGAGGTCGAGATGAGGCGCCATCGGTCTCGCCGGGCCTGGGTGACTCTCATGCGATCCTGGTCGCTAATAAATAATCTGTCGGCACTAAGCGCCATCGCCGCATTGATTCGCGAAACAGGGAACAGGCTGCGAATCATCTCGATATCATCTTCCTATTCAGTTTTCTCATCTGAACTTCAGGCAGGCAACCATCTTCTCATTTCTCATCTCGAGTACTCTCTCTTTCCTTTCTGCTGTCGGTCTCCCGTTTCTTCCATGAGTTTCCCGTCCTCAAGCGAGCCTCATATTTCTCTTCCGTTTCCGCTGTACAGAGCTCTGGTTTCACGTTTCTGACAGAGATAATTGTTACAAGAGACTTTTGATTCTTGCTCAGCAGTTCCGATCGAGGGATTCCCATCGCTGGCACCCGAGGGCGCTCTATGTATACTCCGATGAAACGTCCGTTGATGTGGACCGATACGATTTGAGCGAAAAAAAAGAGGTATACTTCCGGAAACAGCCAATGAAACCGTGGAGGGAGTGCGGGATGCCCCCGCGACGTCAGAGAGGAGGAATCCACGCATAGCTGAATCCTCCTCGTTTTTATGCATCTGCATATCCGATGACCGCTATATAATTGGCTGCCATCAAGACTTCAGTGATGGCCTCAGGTCGCCCTAGGAGGATATCATGTGCAAGGTTGAAATCCACATCCACATCAATCCGGCTTTCATTTGCAAATGTGGAGCCGCGGTCCCTCTAGGGAGCTCACGGTCCATGCTTGCCCCATACACGCAAGATACGCCACATAATCGGAATCAGGAGCGACTACGGGTTGGCTTTTCAGGCGTGATTATTATTTCCTACCAGCGGAGCGCCCTGAAGCCAGGCCAGAGATTTCTGACGATCATTTTTTATACCTATGTAGTGTGACAATGCGACGCGTGACGGCCATGGAACATGGCTGCAGCGAGGGTGAGAGCAGATTGGGACCGTGGGAGAGATGAGGATAATCTCATCGGTCATAGAATGATGATTGCTCCGGTCTCTTTTTGAAAATCTAAACTCTCTCGGAATGGCAAAATCCTCGTCTGCGGAGAAGCACTTCCGAGCATGACCTTCCGGAAACACGGAGCGGACTCATATATCGGAGGTCTCCGCTCTAAGACACTCTCACTGAGCTAGAACTCGCGGATCTTACGCGATTCTTATTCTGTCGGCGACCCAAAGATCTGTTTCGAGCGTTGATCCTCAGTGGAGTAGGAGAAAGGAATCGCTGTTGTGTCTGACTCGGTGATCGTGAGGAGCGGGGAGAAAGTCTTATTTCGAATCTTTGCCGGGTGATTGGGCTTTTTTTCGAAATCATTCTCCACGTCGCTGATCGTAAACAATAACATTCGGATCCCCCCGTAACCGTAATCAGCTGTCGTTCCTTCTCGAGCAGCAGGACGCCCGGAACGTCTCTGCTCTCGGGTTGAATTAAGGCTCCTGTGGTTTTCCGAAGACATCTGTGCAAATCTCACAGAGCTCTGGTCACGAGCATATGTACACCCGGAACGTCTCGAGAACGCCATCGGAAGGAAACGTGGGGCACATCTGCTAAAATACCGGTAAGGTTTCATCGAATGTTCGTCCGAGACTCCACAGGCGTGTCTCTCGTCCGAGATGCCATTCTCCGTTCACGATATTTCCGTGATCGAACGTATCATCGATTTGTCGTGTTGTTCCGCAATGGAAGCTCAATTGGAGACTCCTGGCTCACCTTCCTCCTTCCAAAGAAAATTCCCAACTCCCGGAACTCTCCGGGACGCCGACATCCTTCCGGTGGCGATTCTGAAGCTCGAGTAGGAGATGACTCGTTTCCTCGTGTCTGAATTTCTGACCTTCTTCCAGCTGCCTACTGATGGACGTCGTCCACGAGGTTCCAGCCGACCTAAAACGGCTTGTCAAACTTGTCACCAGAGGCTTCTACACGCCAGAATTAGGCATTGTCGCAGATGCAATCATGAAGCATCAATGCGTTTGCGAAGAAGCACTGGCGGATCTCCTGAAGTTTGAGCGCAAACAGCTCCGTCAGATTCTCGCGCAGATGCAACAGGACCGAATAGCTAAAGCAAGGTAGGTCGACTCCACGCAATCACTGATCATGGACTTTTGATTTCCTGTTCCCCCTTTTTCGATTTCCCTCCCGGGTAATCGAGGGAAGCTCGATTTCTTCTGATCTCGTCCTCCGAGATTGAGCGTTCGGAAAAAGTAATCCTCTTCTCCTTCTCAGGCTGCGCATGGAAACAGGGCCCGATGGAAAATCTCAGAAAAACTTTTACTATTATATACCTTATCAGTCGTTCGTGAATTTTCTCAAATATAAACTCGATCTGGTGCGGCAAAAAATCGAAACCGAAGATCGAGAATCGACCTCACGAACGTCCTTCAAGTGCCAAGGATGTGCTAAATGCTATACCGATCTCGAAGCCGATCGTCTGATTGACTTCGCTACTGGAGAACTGCGGTGTCATCACTGCAGAGCGACTGTCGAAGAAGCCGAGAGTGAAAAGTCCTCAGAAACCCCGCAACAGCTCTTGGTCCGATTCAACGAGCAAATGGAACCTCTCTTCGCACTGCTTAGGCAAGTCGAAAATGTCAGACTTGCTCCGGACCTTCTGGAGCCCGAACCGAAGGAGCTGGAAATACGCATCCCCGGTCAGCCGAAGACGAAAAATTCGGGACAGCAAGGTGCCAGTCCTGGAGAATGGAGCGGAGATTCGACTAGATACGCAGCTGTGAGTTCTCCCATCCGACACTTCGATATTCGTCACAATCTATGCTCCCGGCTAGAAAAGCTCTCCTCGTTTTCTGTCGATTTTTCAAAATTTATTTTTTCCGATCAACAGGCGACCGTTACGGTCGGAGAAGCGGCACCGGCAGCGATGCGAGAGACGAAAGAAATTCCGATGTGGCTCCAAAAGTCTACTGTACTCGTCGACGAGCCCAGCGCCGACTTCTTACAAAACAGATCTTCAAACCCCTTCCCGACAAATCAAACCAAAGCTATATCCGTTCAGGTTGGTTATACAGGTTTATACGCCGAAGCCGTAGGGGATTCCCCGCATCGAAATCAGGATGCTTTCATCCTGCCGCCTGTTTTCCCTACGACTCAACCGACATATAAACTTCAACGTTTGGTCGTCGAGTTCCGAATACCTGACTTATTTATCTCTCCATCTTCTACCACTAGCAGCTTTTGTACTTTCAGAATATCATGGAAGCTCTCTTATCTCACGAGAGACGGCCAAGTGCCGATGGTGGAAAAGAATCTGAGGAAGAGGAAGAAGACGAATGGGAGGAGGTCCCGGAAGAAATCCCTATGGTCATGGTTGGTGGAGAACCGGTCGCTATCCATGATATCACTCAAGAGCTCGTCGATAAGATGTCGAAAGATGAGAAACGTCAATACATAGCCATCGCACAACAATTATACTCGGCAACGTACGAATGATTTGTATGGGATATATAAATAATGTATGTATTATAATTTGTAATAGCTGCCGTTTTCTTTTCCCCTCTGGTTCGCTGCAATCCCTAGCGCTGGAACCTACGAGGTCTGGACCTCCATGATTTCGTCCCAATCCAGCGGTCTGTTTCATCCGACTTCGTCATTCGAATCTCACCGATCAAATGTCGGTCATGGATGCGGGGGCGGAACCATGACCTCCGCTCCCGCAATCTCTGCGGCGCGAACTTGAAATGCTTTTCTTGAGTCCGTTTGCTCAACATGTTCCCTAGAAGCTAGCTGTGGTAGCTGGCTGAGTCAATAATCCAGTCGGAGAAGAAATCGTCCAGAGTTCGAAGATCATCGGAATCAATCTCACAAGGCCGATACAGGGCGATCCTCGTTCGAAGAGAGCCAAAGGGATCAATTGAGAAGTTGGAAAAAGCGCTTGTCGATATCTCCTCAGGTATTCCTCAGGCTGCGGGCTCGATGCGCGCTGGACTATATGTACATATATCTATGAAATCTGTCGAGACCGATTCCTCATGGCGCGATATTCGACTGAGATACCCACAGCACTGTTCCACCTATGCCCAGCTGGAGCAGAATCGTCCTCAATCTACCACATTCCGCATACTTCGGCGAAATTCCCACGGGGAAATAGATGAGACCTCGAGCCTGGCCTTCTTGCTCTCAGATGACTCGGTCAGGTATTCGCGCTATCGAACTTAGTCAGGCCGGGAGCAGGACCTCATAGTTGTCAGCGTCCCCGTTTTACCTCATCCGAAAATATACAGAAGTGTGCCTCGAATGACCCCTTAGCTTCAGGCGCTGGCAGTGCAAGTCGGACGAGGGTGTCGAGAAGAACGGAACGCATGTTCTTCTCAATTTCGAACTCTTCGATCGATCGAGCTGAGAGGAAATTTGCAACGTGGGCAGCCGTGAGAGGAGAATCTACCGAGGACAGTCAAGCTCCCTGTTTCGGAGGAAACTACTTAATGAGAAAACACCTCGATAAGGTACCGGTAGCCCGAGCAACGATTCCCCCGTTCGAGAAGGCGTCGAGGTTCACCGAGTCGTTTAACTAGATAGGAGAGCGAGGCTCCCGATAGGTGAACTTAACTCCTACGATACAGATTCCTCACTTCACGAGGCTTAGGACTCAAGTGTTAGCTTGGTTTTCGCAATGGTACCTGACATCGACCCATGGGCGAACAGACGAGGGTGAAATTTCAGAGATCCAGTCCTATGGATATCCATGTTCGTCCAAAGATTTCGACATTTCGCGGAGCGAGACCCGACCGAAGAATAAATTCTCGACAAGCAGACTGCGACACCGAGGCCGGCCACGTTCAAGAAAACGGAAAACTCCGATCAAAATCGAGGCTAGGACATCGACATTGAGGTGGAGGAGCGCGCCTCCGCATCGAACTTTTAAAGTCCGTCCACTGTGTTTTCGTGTTGTTACTGCTCTCTCTCTAAGGGGCGGCGCAGCGCGGCGGCGGCAGCATCTCCCCCGTGCGCCACACATGCCACACGGATCGGCGGAATGATATCCCTCGAGTGGGCGGGGCTCTCACACACCTGTTCCGCGCGAACACGTGTTTTCGAGATTCACAGTCAGCGACTCCGGGGGATTAATTCTCTTTCGTTAGACTTCTTGATCAGTCCTGTCTATGTTTCCGGCGATTCTGATCTCGATAGCGGATCCGCGGCAGATCCCGCGAGGATCTACTTCTGCTCGCAGTTATCTGTGGAGAGAGCGCGAGTGTCTTTATTTCTAATTCTAGGTGAGGAGACCGATCTCTCTTCGAAATTATTCTAACCGTCATCAGATGTAAACAGCGCAGGAAACCCGCAAGGGACCGACCGGATCAGCTGTTCTCTCGGAGTACGACCTCGCTATTGAAATGCTCTCATAACGCTCTCTACCGAAGGTGGATTGGGCTTACTCATTTAGAGTCTCCTCGATGATGACGGTGCCCCGCGAGCGCGGGCGCGTCATGGATATGTAGCAAACGGGAGCTCCATGTTTTTCCGAGGTGAGAAAATTCCGTCCACGCTCGAGTGTGTCTCGCTTCGCACCTGATGAGAAGCGATTCAGCATCACTTCTAGAGCTTCATGAGTGATGGGTCCGGTAGATTTCCCGGAACGTTGCGCTCGGCTAGCTCTTACCGAATTATAAATGGTCTCATGGACATGCTCACTCGACCCAGTGAGCCTCTGACGAAGTATTCGACGTCTCCTACTGCTCTTCAAGGCTCCAGGCCTTATGTTGTCGTAGCGATCACTCATCTTCAGGCAAAAGCGCAAACCTATCGTTCTGCATTATCTGCCATACTTCGCGATGAACTCCGGTGCGAGACTAAGGTTGAGTCTCACGATTACTACTTAGGACGTATGACTGTAATCAGTTCAGTCTCTGACTCGAGTTATCGATCTTTATCACGGAAATGTCTGTGCTCTAACACTTCCACGGCGAAGTCTGATTTTCCGTGGGGCGTCCACGTCTCCCCATGAACGAATAAGCTCGAGATCCCGGTGGGCTCTTTCCCAGAGCTCTGTTCAGGCGGCGATTGATAGCGTCGATCCGGGAGTGCTTCTCAAGGATTTTGAGATGACCTACCACCGGAATGAAACATTTGCTTGGACTGATCAGGATTTCAGACTTCCCGCAGAAACTCAGAGATGAGAAATTCATCCTGCGAGGGTTCTGTCGCAGCGTCTGTCGGGGTTTTCCCAGGTATGCTCTCGTCGATCGCGCGGGAGTCGCGGAGTGGTTCACAGATGCTTTCTCAATACCTAGACGCAATTTCCTTCAGAGGGAGATGATCGGATGGCTTCCCGCTGTTTTGATTCGACACACTACCGCGGAAAAACATCTTACGCCCACTGAAGGGCCTGCCGTACAATTTATTGGTTGAAACCATCGACCCGCGACCGAGTAGGATCAATAGGTATGATTCGAGAATCAACAAATGTATAACATTCCGTGTCTCCGACGTAGGTCTTCCGGAGAGCGGATCCACGGGGAAGGTCACTCCTGAACACCAAACTCGGAATCACGAGGGGTAGTTTCACGCATAACCCCCTCGACCTTTGCTGCGACTCGGGACTAGGCGCCGACACGAATGGGGAAGTCCAAGTTCGGCATCCGTGGCTACGCGTCGAGCGCGTTCGGCAGTATTCAGCTCAGTGAATGTTCGGTCGGAAGCAAAAAGCGTTCGTAATTTTTGTTGTTGTCGTTGTTTTTGCGTTGATGGCGGTCGTTGTTGTTGTCGTCGTCGTCATCATCTCCTTGGTCGGACTCATCCCGCGTACCCCGTTGTATTGTGCCCTTTCCCTACTCGTTGACGGTCGCTCGCTCGCTTGCTCGCTCAGTCCCTTGCTCGCTCAGTCAGTTAGTTCGCCACCGGCTCGCAGATGAAAGAGTGGTTTCGGAATCTAGCGCGCTTCTGACGGGACGCGATCGTGGAAGTGGTGATTATGATATTATAGTAGTTTGACAGAAGACCTAGGATGGCTGTGCAGCTGCCGCCGTCACCGCCGCAGAGGGTGACGCCGACTCAGGCTCTCGTCATAGGCTCACGCGTTGTACAGTCGCTTTGCCGCCTACTTGTGTTCCTGTGCTCGTACCGTCTCCTGTCGGCCGACCCGTCCATTGTAGCGTTAGACGCCCTGAACGTGATGCGGCTGATTATGTTCGTCATAACAGTGACGCTCGCGTTCTGGTCTTATCAAAACGTCAAGGAAATTCTACTTTATTCGATGTTCCTGGTAGCTCTCAGTCCGGTGGTCCGCAGTCTCGCCGAAACCGTTTCGACCGATACGATTTATGCGCTGTCTACCGTTTTGTCGATAGTGCATCTTTTCCTGTCGGACTACACGCTCTCATCACCACTTTCCGAGGTGTCTCTATCTCTGAATTCGCAAATATTCTCGTCCGTCTGCTTGGCGTCGAGACTCACGTCGAATTCTGCCGTGTTCGCTCTGATGTGCGCTTCAGCTATTCTGTTCGTGACACTCGCTCGAGTGTCGAAAGAGTCCCGCAAGGAGCATCTTTTTACAACCATGCACGTCGTTGCGTCCTCCGGCTTCTTCTTCGTGGTCGAGGGAAGGAATCGAGACGTCACTGTCGAGCTCTACCTCTGGGTTTCGCTCCTGTTCACGGTCGGGATCGCTCTGCCTCTGCTCTACGTGAGACTACAAACCTCAAGGAAGATCTGCTCGGGACCTTGGGACGAAGCCGTGCCTGGCCGCTCAGAACCCGCTCAAGCCCAGCGTCACGCCAAAAAAGAATGAATTCTATAATATTACATCGACAAATCCTATTTTTACCTTTTATACTCGAGTACCTTGTAAATAAAATGGAGGAATCAAACATAAACCTAGGCACTTGGTTTCGTTGAGCGTCCTAGTCCTCTGGGATTCGCATAGAATATTTCATTTCCTCGTCTCTCGCTTCCCTTCCTCGCGAAAGTACCGCGAGGCCAGTTTTCAGTAGTCGGCCGATGGCATTCGCGATCCGGCCGGAAAAGAGATTTTGATCATTTTTCGTGATGCAATCTGAAGATGGCCAAAAAGGAGGATATTCTGGACGGCAATAACAGCCGCTTCGATAGCCCGGCGATCGAATCGCTCTCGTTCAAGTCAGACCGGGAATCCGTGGACAGCCGGCAGACTCAGTCTGTACCTACAATGGACTATTATCGCTCGAGATAAGTCACTCGGAAAAGCATCTCCCACGCAATGCGAGGGGCTCCGACGCAGGGGTTTCGAAACAGAGCCTATTCAACTGCTTCGATCGTCTCGAGTGAGCCACACTGTCGAAAAGAAATCCTCTGAATCTGGAGATCTGGGATTCTCAGCACGACTGTTAAGATCTTATTGTGGAGTCGTTCCGAAGTTGATTCTGTAGTTACGTCCCTGGGAAGTCGCGACAGCTGGAAGTTAGCATGAGTCAGTGGTGCATACCTCTGGAACATGTTTACGAAATCTTATGGAACAGAAGTTTCGCCTTCTCTCGATACCTTGGTCGCCATCGCTCAGATCAGCGTCATTCATCAATCGCGAATGTAGACGCTCAGTCCCTAGCTTCCGTTGTTAGGGAGACTCCGATATGATGAATGATTTTCTGGTCTCCAGTCATCGTCTCGATTTATTGCCTCCCGATTCGACACGATTGAGCAAGGATATCCGCGGCTCTTGTTGTCGAATCCGGGACTCTCAATTCGAAGGCATCTCGGTTCACTTGAACCAAGGGAAAATGTTTAGAGATTCGGATCGTGTACACGAGCGTAGAATTGGAGATCTCGATGCTTCCGCGCCTTCACGGCGTAAAGTGTTTCCAATTGTCAGACGTTGCCTCAGGATGGGACCCTGACGAACGGCGGGAGCCAGGAATCAGTCTCCTCCAAGATGCGATCTCCCATACGATCCGAAGCCGTAATCGCAACGCGTGATTGATTCCAAAAATCTCATTTCCGGAGTACAACATGACCTAATCGGAGATTGAGGACAGAGAGTCGCTCAGCATTCTGCCACTCAACTCGCGAATTCATTTACGAGCCATCGACATCTTGTGATTCTCAAGGTCGGGAGTCTCGGAGCTGATCAAGATACCCTGCTAAGTCGCGCATCGAGGACTTTTGTCCCATCGACGAGCGGTTCAGGATCGTTTCATCGAATCTGCTCGATTCTAGGCGGTGGATTCCGTCCTCTTACGGCTAGCTCGATCCGATCGGACTTCCGGTCTTCAGTGGAAAGCCGTTGAGAGAGGAATATATTCTAGTGGTCATCATTAGGAGAGAGAACTCTGACGAAGAAAACGCGCCAGTATTTCTGGGACTACTTGTGCAAAATGTGTATCATCGAAGGGAACCCCGTGCGAAACATCGATTCATTCTTTTTTTGAGACCTACATTGTCTGGATGGATGGATCGCTCACTTTGGCTCGCTCGCAGCATTCGATTATTCAGGCTCCGAACCAGAACTCAAAACCGCGGTAACGCCTTCCGAAGTTATACGAATGTTTTCACTTTCAATTTGGAAACTGAGAAGGTCAAGTCAAGCAACGCATCCCAACGATACGAAAGCTGAAGGGTGCATTTCATTATCATCCATTTCTCCGTTTGCCATTCGAATGTTCGCGCTGAGAGGAGAACTGCCGAGGCCTTGGTGATGGCAATGGTCAGCGGGCACTGGGAGGACTCACACTTTTAGAGAGAGAGCGTTCTCAATCGGAAGGCCAGGGAGAATGTTTGGGGAGACTCCTCCAGCCCGTTCCAGCTGTATCCAGACTCTGGAGCTCGGGGTGCGGTCCTGCGCTTTGCCACGGGAAAAACCTTCGATGCTCGGACCTGGAATGGTCATTCTCGATAGGTCATCATCCCCCCGATGACACTCGGAGCTCAGGATCGACTCCCCCCCCTTCGGAGTGGATAGCGGCAGCCTTTTGGCGTCGCTCTGTCGGAATTCTCGAATCCATAGACTCACGTATGAACATTGAAAAGAGCAAGAGATGAGTGATAGTTTTTTATATTTTTTTTCCTCGATGCCCATATTTGATGAAGACTCGCAATCGCTGGCCCGCGGCTACTGCAAACCCGCTCGCCATTGGCCTTCTCGTTGTTTCCACAATGTTCCAGGAGAACGAAACAAAAAGAGAACAAAAGCCTGTCGTTTACGAACAAGCGTTTTTAAAAATGACGATATGCCTATTTACCTAGATGATACTTTGTCGTCCTATGGTCTGAGTGTTCTTCCTCCTTTCCGCTAGCTGTCGATTGTTCTACATAATGGTATATACGATATATGTATATATACATCTTATCTTATGTATAATGTGGGTACTCTGTGAATTGTCGTCGTCGTTGCATCTGTTGCTTTTGATAAGACGTTTTTCTCGCGCGCACTCTGCGAATGATGCCCTCTGCGTTAAAGAAGTTTTCACTGCTGATGATGTTGACGTCGTCGTCGTAATCGCTCGTTGCAACTGACCAGCTGTAGCTGGACCACCAGAAGAGTCCGTTGGCCTAAGAGGCTACATGTGTACGCTAGATTAATGATTGTGAATCAAATCATGTGCGCTGTTTGGCGCCTTCTGTATCGACTCTCGAGAGCTCGTCTCACTAGAAAGACGCGAGATAGTCATCGAAAAGATCGGTGATGCCTTCGGCGTCGCCCAAAGTGAAATTGAAGTCTTCCTCTGTCAGGGCGGGCTGCAGGTTGACGAAAGGCGTCAAGAAGCGAGAGACCATCTCGTCCGTGGGAGAGCTGTAGCACAAGAGGAAGAAAAACATGTAACACGTTAGCAATGCACAGACGAGGAACGGTCACACGCATGCGAGACGCTAGAGGCACTCGTATATCCATTCACATAAGTGACCATGTGACTCTCTAGTTTGCTGGCCCTCATCTCAACAATCGATTGAGATTCAAGCGTGCTTTTATTGAACGCTCTCAACTACCGCAAACATCCATCCAATCATTCATTCAACCAACCGACCAACCAACCAATCGATCGATCAAGCGACCGCCTAGCCCTCAACATCAATCGATCGCATGACATGGTGCCAGGGATCGATAGAAGCTCGGCATCGGAATGATTGAAGTCGAGTATACACAGTCGTAACTTCAATCCCTAAATATACTATCATCATAAATAAATAATTAATATCATAACGAAAATCATCTTTATGTACAAGCGTTCCGAATCGGAAACATGGCGTCCGACCCGGATTATCTGATCACGTTGAGATTCGAAGGAATCGAAAGACAGAATTTAGGGCGTACACCCTCAAAAGAAAGCTGCCCAAGAACCTTTGCTCGGTCTTACGCCGGCGGATATCTCAGTGTTTTCTTGATTTGGTCGATTCGGGATCCCATCGATTACGGGGTCGCATGCTCGTGCCCAAATCTGAATTACTTGACTTTGTTCATCAGCTTCATCGAAACTCACATTTGACCAGGTGCGGTGTCTCTGAACGCCAACGGGTCGTGGTCATCGTCTAGGAATGTGGGCGCCGGAATTTCAGCTGCAGGGAGGAACATTTCCGTCAGACTCGCCACGGGACCATGAACTTGGACTCGAACCCGGAACTTCGTTCCAACCATCTATCCATGGGCTGGAGAAACTTACGCTCAGGTAACAACTCTTCAGGCACCGTGGAATCTTGAGCGTCCTCGGGCACGAAAACCTCGATCGGACCTCGTTCGCTGTGCAGGAACACTTGAATTTTGTCGGCGACGTCCGGAACTTCCAGTTTCGTGTCTGGCGGAGCCTTGATCGCGATCACATTCTGATCCGAGAACGACGGAATACTATGCATGTCTGAGTATGTGACGTAACCCCATTGTTTACCTGAAAACAACAACAGTCAGGAAACCCGTCCAGATGTTCGAGCTCACCCTCCGTAGGACCTGACACTTCCTTTCCTTCCAACCTCGACAGCGAGAAAGAGATTCGCAGCTCCTTACCTTCGCTCTCGGTGAGCTTCTCCAGTTCCTCAGAGGCATTCCGCATCAGCGAATCCAGGAGCGACTCCTTGCGATCGAGTTCCTGCAACCGACCGGAGCTCGGATCGTTAGCATCCACAGCTTCGGCGATCGATTGGGAATGCCGCCGAATAAGGGGTCTTCCTAGCGGATGTCTCCATACCTTGATCTCGGAATCCAACTTATCGCTTCGAGATGAGCCTTCGTCGATCGCTTTCCAGCGAATGACGTTTTTCTGTTTCTTCTCAATGAGACCTATACCTTCCAAAACGTTGGTGATGTCGTATATCCGTCTCTTTTGGACTGTTAAAGCTTCACACGCGTGATTTAGGTCCACCAACTGCAAAACAAGCGACGCTTCGTTAAGATGAGATCCATCAAAGAGAATCCCGAGCTCATCTTTGAATGCCTGACATGCAGGGGCGACAATCCACTTCCCCGTCCCGAGAGGTCTCAACCCGGAAGGAACTTACCCCATCCTGAGCTGATCTGATAAGATCGATGAACTTCCTCGTGAGTTTTCCCAACGAGGTGTCGTTCCGGCCTTCCTTTGGACTCAATGCCGGGATCATCACACCACCCTGCGAAGCCATTGACATCGATGAGACGACAGCGATATTACGCGATATGTATTTCTCCGACTCGCGACGCTATGCGATTGCGTTTTAACGCCGGTTCCGTGATACTATTGCAATGTTTCAAGAATAGAGACAGATCAGCGAAGCCCGCGAATGACCTTACCTCGGGGGACTCATTCTTAGGGGCGATAAGTTTCATGCGTTTCGTTTGTACAACAGGCGATGGTGTCTTGAATACCGAAGTACTGTGTTCCATATCCAAACGCCGCTTCACCTGAAAGTTTACGGATTCTGTGATTCCACACTTAGTGACCGGAGCGCCTGTATCGACAAGGGAGCTTGATCATGTTCATGAGCTGTTTCGACCGATGCCACAGAGGGGAATTTTCTGAACAGTGTCCGCCGTCAAGTTTGTTCACTACACGGATAAATTAAGGAAGCATCCATCGGTTGTAGCATTCAGGCCGTGAACGACGACGGACCGATGGACGGACGGACGGAGGAACGGACCGACCGACGGATGGACGGACGAACGAACGGGCGGATGGATGAGCGGACGGACGGACGGACGCACGCACAGACACACAGATGGACAAAGCCAGTTAGGAACCGGTCTGAGCGAGAATGTTTTCCACGGCATTTCCTAAAAGCTTTCACCAATCGGTGACATTGAACGTCGCAGCGCTCTAAGAGCGGCTACACGGAAATTGCCACCATGACCGAATCTGTTTTTGGTCGGGGGTCGGTGTACAGCGATAGTTTCAGCGTACATGTCAATACACTGATGTTCATCGGATACGTATGCGGGTGGGCTCACGACACCGAGGAGAGTTTCCTGGAGTTTGCCACAATAGCCAAACGGTCGTACTGTGCCGCTGTTGGCAACGATGGAGCAAAATTGTCGAAAGCAGTCGGCTCACTCCCGACCGAGCGAGCCCGACCAAGCTGACCGTCATTTGGCATCGGGCGAATTGCGACGAATTTCTCAAACGAACCTGGTTGCGCTGCTGCGGTTTCGGTAGCGGAGGTCGGTTAGAGTCTGCGAAAGGTCCTCCCGGAGCCTCGATTTTCGGTGTCGGCGTACTGTACTCATCATAGTTCATGAACAACGTTGCTCTAGTCTGCTCCGAGAAATTCATCATCGGACTTCGATGAAGGGTTTTCCGTCGAACGCAATTCCGGTTGAGTTTGAGATGGCACTAGGCCGAAACTAGCGGGACTCAGCTATCGAAGGACATTCACTTCAACACATTTGGCCAAGGATTTGACGCCCGATGGCTTGGATGAAATTCCAACCCGCGGCCGATACAACAACTGGCCAGCTAGCAGACAAGTTCCTGCTGAAGCAGTGACGAGTTGCTCAAAGGCGGGAAAGTCAAAAGGAGCTCTGCGATTGGACGACTCGCGAGTTTTCGTCTGCTAAGGGAGTTCCCTTTCTTAGTGGCGGGCAACCGCTCTATCGTTCGTCGTCGACGATGTAAGAGAAGAGCAGCAGCAGCAACAGCCGCAGCAGCACTCGGTATACCTAGCTGCTACTGGCGCTTCGACGACGAGCCCACAAACGGCTCAAACGAACCAAAGAGCAGCCGCTTTAACTTGGGGGACCCCCGTACTCGTCGTTGTCGTCGTCGTCGTCGTTGTTGTCGTCGCTGTCGTCGTCGCCGCTGCCGCACTCCTCACCACCGGCATGAGCAACTGCTGCTGCTGCCGTATGGATGGACGCCCCAGAGAATGCAGCAGCTATTCGCCCTCAACAATACGACGAGAACTATGTCGTTGACGACGAACTCGCTGCGCGACCCAAAAACCCTATACGATCAGCGGTTAACTCTCCTTGTGACTCGGTCGGTCGTTCGTCGCTAATACCGCTGGAGGGCCGCAAACGCTGCGATATGCCAACTCAGAATGAAGGCGCGACAGGTTGAGCTGGTCGTTGCGACGACGACCAACCGCCATCCAAGAGTAAAGTGTAATAATTTTTTTCGCAAATGAGGAATTCGCTCATTATGGCTTCTGGCACTTGTGCCCGAGCAGCTGTCAAAAACTTCCTCGGAATCCATAAAATGCACGCGAGCAAGGCGCTGCCCAAGTCGTCGATGGGGCACGATCATCATCGACATGCACGATTGCTGTATATATAGATCGGAGATCGATAAAAAAAATCGGCGTCGACCTCGGTCGCCGAAATCAGAGGAGCGGTCAGTGATTCGGCGGCTGCAATTTCACCATCTCGCTGGTCGAGAGGGGAGTTCGAGAGTAGAGGACGTTCATTCCGGATCAGGGAACCGCTGCAGGTAGGACACGAGTCGCAAGCAGGTCCGCTCGATGTGGAAGGACGCTTTGGTCGACGTCGTTGTCGTTGTCGGCGTCGCTGCCGCCGCCGCCGCCGTCGTTCGTCTCATGCGCGAGCTCTTCCCAGAAGGGGGTTGGAACTGACCGACGGCTCTTGAGAAAATTAGGAGCGATGCCCGAGCCGGAGCTTGATGGACCTGGGCGGTGCTCACCGAGTGAGCTGCTGCCCCGAGCTCACAACGGTCTTCGCTAAGGGACCACAAAGATCAAGCATTCCACGTTCGGAAGGGTTGTGCTACAGGCGCCTCTAGTATACCTCACTTACTCATTGTCAGCTAATCTTCGTGAAAGGAGGGACAGCTGTTACAGAAATGCTCACGGGCCTTCTGCACAGCGGACGTAATGCATGAAGCGTTGAACGACGCGCACGGCTCTCACCGGCTCCACGACAATTTGACAACGTACGGCATGACGTCGTTCGTTCATACGGTGCCCGTTCGACCGGCCTACCGTCAGTCAGTCCATCACAGAAGATACCTGCGACGGTTTCCGTTCGTCGGATCGAGTTCTCGCCTTATGTTCTCATTTACTGTTTATCATACTTTCTGTCTCAAGTTACGGCACAGTCGGCGCGCACGATCTGGGATCTCCCTCGGGACGGAAAATCCCTTGGCCCTCACTTCGAAACCCAAAAGCCGAAGAATTGGGTTCGAATAGTTGAGAGCGGTGTCGATTTTTCTTCTCGAATCGGGGAAGCCCCGGCGCTTTCAAGAGCTCAAGTCTTCGTTCTTCGATCCACAGTCGTAAATCAACAATAATTACAGCACCTCACGATCATCTCAGGCGGAGGCTAGTACGCCAAACATCGCTTTTCACGAAAGCCGTCGCCGGTAGTATAAGGGGATGACATTTGTATTTTAATCCAAGGATCGAACTGGATCATACGGGTGCAAGGGTCCGGACCGGGGTGCGAGGCGAGAGACATACTATATTTTCTTCGAAAAAGCTCTCGAACAATCACATGACACGCACTGTCTTGGGGACGCACGTCTTGCGTTTTCCGCTCGATTCTATGCGAAACCGGACCAATCATCTCTTCCAGATGGCTAATTCCGAGGTGGGGGAAAGACTTCGTGGTGGCCATTCGATGGTCTGCAAGGGGTCCGGACCCGAGGTTTGAAATTCGTTCTACCTGAGAGAAGTGTCTGGCATAAGAAGTTTTACTGAAAACAACTTCCTTTGGAGAGCTTCTGCCCCATGTCGAGAACTCGCGGGGAGCGGAACCACCTCAGCCATTTTCGGCATTCAGGCATCTAAGAAGAACTTCCAATTAGCCGAGAGGAGACATTCGAAGCTAGAAATGACAGGTCTCGTTCGCGACGTGCCCGTTGAACTCCTCGAGATATGTGAGGCTCTTCCACCCGTCATGGGCGAACATGCATCCGTCTCGTCGGGAAAAATGCAGCACATCGGGTCGGCTGAGTTCCATCCGAAAGCCGTCTATTATTATTCATCCAGAAAATATCGCGGTGCGATGCGCTTAATCCAGCGCGGCCGAACGACGATTATCTCTCACAGCGATGAACATAATTGCTGGCGGAACAGCAGAGCTGCTTTTTGTCAAGGGAGAGAAAGGGCCACAACAGGATCTCGGAGTGATTTTGGAATCGTCGTGTGGAGCCCCATCTCGGCATCGGCGGGATCCGAATGCGAAGAGATGGGGCTGAACACGAGGGGAGGGAGGCGAGAAAGTTGGAAACTCGGGCTCCCCGATCTCAAACATGCGCAGAGAGATTTGGAGGAAACAAATTGAGGCCGTTCAAAATTGCTACAATTTGCTCTGTCGGAGCGAATCCGTCCAAAAAATCCAGTGTACGTTTCCGACCCATGCTCTCATGCGCGCCATCATGAATGTATGGGTGCTCGGTACCCCACTGGGTGACCAGCCCGGGATCGTCGTCCGCTGTCTTTCAGATCCAGAGCGATCCACCGCATAAGCTGTCGCGATTACTCTCTCGCTCCTCTCTCATGAGCTGAACCTCATTCAATTTTGCAGAAGATCTTTTGCCCCGTCACGGTTCCTGCGCGAGTTCGTCCGCGGGATGACTTTCGGAAGTCTCTCGGAAATGTCCGTCGGAGCAATGATCGAGGACATGTGTCACGGCTCGGAGCGAATCGGGAGAGTACGCTATTTCTGCGCACGCAAAAATCGCTCGGTGCACGAGAACAGATTTCCTGGCGGATTGAGAGAATAGAAGGGCAAAGTGTCCTTCGCGCGATTGGTCGATGGGCGGTTGACGACTACTGACTTGACTTGAAAGTTGTTGAGAGCTTCTTGGCACGCCGCCCGTCGTCATCTCGAGGGAGGCGGCAGGGGGAGCGGCGGCACGTCATTGGACTATCGTAAGCGCATGGACTCTCCGCTGACGTGCCCGAGGAGCTCACTCTGGAATTAGACGAAAAATTGGACGACGACGACGTGCGAGTTGGGGGAGAGGAATATTCAGCATTTGGATGAGGCCTCTGCGAGATTGTTAAGTGGAGCTTCGAGTGTGTCGAGGCCGCTTCCGAGCTCCCAGGGGATCTGTACACGAGAGAGTAAGGGAGAGCCGTGCGATTCTCGAGAAGCCTCTAGATCATAGATAGTTCTGCTCGAATTCGGAACGAAATCCGAAAATCCCAAGTCGGATCGGAGGGGGCCACAGGTCGGGAGTCATAATTTCCCTTCGATCTCAGATTTTAACTGAGTTAGGAAACCTCGGGAGTTCCCGATGCGCGTTCCAGATTCTATCGCTTTGAGCTGGAATCCGGTCGGAGGAGCGATGAGAATGTGGCCTGAGGTGAGATTGTTCCGAAATCCATGGCACCGCGGTGGCGCGAAATTATCAAACCTATCGCCGATGTAGGCTTCGATCCGAACTGAATCGAGTCGCGAGTGGGGCATGGCTCCGGGCTTGATGTCTGGGATATATGTAAATCTTGAATCGTGGCACGGAGACAATGAACTCCCTATGCTCGACGCTGAGAAGAAGCGACCAATGCCGAGATGAGCTCATCGGAAGCTGGATCTTTGAGTTGGGATTTCGCGTCATGAAGAAGGATTGCTTGCCGGCTTCAATGAATTCTATATGGTTGTCAAACGATTGAGAACGCCCCAAATCGTCGGGTAAGGATAGCATTGTCAGAGGGCGAAGCGAAGTGGTGGATACGTTTAAGGCTGCGCTCTTTCAACCTATGAGTCCACAACCGAGGGTTTTTTGGCACCCTTCTTCTCCGGATTGGTGAGCTCGCGAGCCGCGGTCTTTCCCATCGGCGAAGATTTTTGCTACTCATGGAGATTCCTCCAGGTTTCGGGGCTGTCCTCGTCCAGGCTCTTCTTGTTGAAATGTCTCAAGCATGAGTACCGAGTTCCCGCTCTCGCAGCCGGATTATCGCAGGGACTCCCGAAGCACCAAGTTCATATACTGACAAAGAGCCGGGGGATTCCGTCGGCTGAAACTCGTTCCCCTCGTTATCGATCTAGGTAATTGGGACCGGTACAACTGTCATTACCCAGTCCTGCTTCCCAGCTAGATGGAGCTACTGCCATTTTCGTTTCATGGAGAGGCTTTTCACGTTCTGCATGACAGCGAAATGAGCAGGTGAACTTCATAGACAAAAGCCATCAAGCGCTCCTTTGACCGGGATTCCCTCATCTGAAAATATCGAAATCACTTGCATCGAGACTGAAAAGCCGGTCCCTCTGCATGTATGGATGGAGTGAGTGAGCAACGCCGCATCTGGTCATTCAGGTTCGTCTTCGAATCAGTGAGCATCCCAGCTATGCACTCAACAACTAACCAAGCGACCAGACGGCTAGCCACACAACAACAGCGAGTCTGGTTGAACAAGGTCGGAAAGATCGAGCCAGCCAGCCAGTCGTTTGGTCGATCGCTTGGGTAGCGGGGCGACCGGTTTCGAACAGATTCTTCGAAGGCTCGAAATTCGTGCTTTCACAGGATGCCCCTCCCTCGAGCGAATGTCCGTCTGAAGCTTCCCGAGCGAGACAGGTCAACAGGAACGCCGTCTAACAATGTCACCGAACCCAAGTTCTAGCAATGGCCGTAGTGAGCAGAAGTAGGAGAAAAAACTTGAATCGTAGTAAGCTCGGAGTGAGAGGCGACTCAAGATCGAAAACGATATGTGCGAATCGTCTGAGTCATCTCGCAAGAGAAAAACGAGGCTCAAGAAAATCGGGGCAGATCCGATAGGTTCAGGGAGTCTTCCCCCTCGAAGCTATGCAGCCCGAAAATTCCGAGGATAAGAGCTGTCCTACAGAGTCGGCGGAAGATAAGAGCCGGAAGCATGAGTGAACCTGTGAGAGAGCCCTCCATGGTCTTCGTGGCCACACTGAGCCACCAGGTTTTATTGTTTTCATCGTATTCGCCTCAAGAGAGGTGAACAGAAGGGAAGTAGAAGGAATGCGTGGCGACTGACGACTCGTTGGGATTTAGCTCGAACGGGCTGAAAATTAGTAGAAAAATCAACGGCGCCCATGCCTTGGATCTCCTAAACAATACGTATCGAGTGTACCCGGGTGCTTATCCGAGCGAATGAATACGGCCGTAATCAGAGCTCCCCTAAGCACGGGTCAAAATAGCCCCCTGTGGTTTGGACTTCCACATCTTTTACGGAACGAAGACATACTATATTGATGGGCGCAAGGAATCGGATTCACGTTGTATTCGACGTCTATCCGTCGATTATCCGTGCTCCCGGATAAGTCATTCTAGTTCTCGGGGAAACCCTTCGGATCAATTGTCTCCAAGGGCTGCATTGATTATACAATTGAAACGGAGGTCGAGTCCAAAGGATGGGGATGCGGCCGATGCTGATTCGGTTATTGCCCTCGTTGGGAGCCTGTTACTTGATCGAGACCCTCGACTGCGCCTTCTTTTCGACCGTCCTACATATGCACATATGTAATTGGTCCCCGACGTGGGATGCGCCTGGCAGAAAACAACAGCCGATTCGCGGATCACCGGAGGAAAATAGAATTAGTTCCTGATGAATCCATTATAATCAGACAGAAGGTAATCGTCGGAAATCCGTCCCTTGAGAAATCACTCCCGCTCCCGGAGGGAATCTCAGGAGCCAAAGACTTTGGGGAAAGTATCTGCTTCCGTCTGCAGTCTAATCGGGCTAGCCCGAGAAGAGCAATTCGTCGTGAGAGAATCACCCGAAACTCCACGGACATGGCATAAATTGACCTGGGCTAACTTCTCCGCTCCGAGCTCGAAGAATGATTACGACACTCGGATGCATCCGCGAGAAGGCCGCGCGGAAAAGACCATCAATCATTCGTCGTCTCGACATCTCACTCGCAGCTCGCAAGTAATCGGGAATTCCGGAGTCTCCATCTGAACTTCGATTTAATCAGAGTCTACCGGAGAGACCAATGGAGTCCCAGAGAAACTGCGAAGAATGCCTTCCCACTGGTCCCCGGTCGCCCTCAGAACATCGTTGCTCCGATATCGAAAGCTTTGACCATGCTCACCTTGCGGATTTCGATAATTTCCAGCGATCAGCGATCATGCGTCGGATCCGTCTGTCTCGCTCAACGATCGAACCAGCGATCGGCTCACGTTTCGTCAAAGGGATGGGAGTCACAGGATGAGCCACGAAGCTTCGACTTCGAGATGTTGAAACAGTTCTAAGAGGGAGAGAAACAATAAAATTTCGACGGCTTCACCTTCAAGTGGGCAGGGTTGCTTCTCGGAGCCATGCATCGCTCGATAGCGTCAACGGCTGCTCGGGTTATTTATTTCGTGAGATTCCCAGGGTCTGAGTGATAGGAGGTCCGTAGTAAGGAACTCGCTGGAGTTTTCGATTCATTCCATCGGCAGCTCGCTCTGTTTTGATTGAGCGCAATAATTATAAACAATTCGATCGATCGGCTTATGTTAGACAAGTCCCGCTACGGGATCACTGCTTCTTAGGAAGCATCCGACGACAAGAACCTGCCAGAATATCCGATATCGAGAATCGAGACTATGAGATAAAACAATAACAATATGTACCGTGATTTCAGATATCGAGTCGTTCCGGTTCCGGCCCCGTCGGAAACAGGGAAACAATCTGAAATGACGACTCAACGCTCCCCGCGAGCTGAGCTGATTTGATTAGAATCCGCGTATGTTTCGGCCGGGACCGCATGCGATCAATTGATCATACGTACAACGGAAACATCGGAGCGACAGACACTATAGTAACCATGAATCGTGGGCTTTCAACTGGCTCTGTGACGCTCTTCATCGGATGAGCGTCAGATCCCCTCTCGTCAAAGGAAGTTCCTCCCCATACTGGAGAAAAACCCGACTTGACGAGCCTTTGAGCATCGTCGTGTCGGCGAGCAGCCGAGCGACCGCTGAAACGACGGGTGTTCGCTCCTGCATCTGTTACACTCGAGCTGCTTGGTGTGTGTGTGTATGTTTGTATGTATGAAGTACAGAGTAAGGACAGAGGTCAACGGCTCTGTTAAAAACCACAGGTCCCCAGGAAGGAGTCTAATCCAGAAATAAATGAGTTTCCATTCGTCCAATCATTCAAGTAGCGGGCATGGAATGCTGGGCTCAGCTGTTCTGTGTGAGTTCGCAACCAATCGAATCCCCCAGCCGTTGATCAACGAGATATCCTTCTCTTTGAGACTATCCATCTCGGGCCAAATCTGCGAGTAGCTGAAGGATGGACAGATATCCATCAGCCGGTTCCATATGGAGGTATTCTCTCCAAGAGCCCGCCTTTCAATGCCTGGCGACGATTCGGAAGATGGAGATTGGGGTCGATGACCCTCGGAAAGCATTCGCGCTCCAAATTCTAAGACCAAAATCGACTGAATCGTAGGATCTTGCGCATGCGAGCCGCGAGCTGCTGCGTCCAGACTGCCATCGGTCATCGATTCTGGTTCATTCCCTTGAGCTTGTTCGAGGGAAACAGCCCCTCCCCGGGTCACGGACTAGAGGAGGACGTTTAAGTGAGATTTCGATGATTCAGAGTCATCGATCAATATGATACGGGATGCCGGAAATTTCATTGCCACCCGCCTCCGATCGTCACGTCGAAAAGCAGACTTGACTCTTTTCGAGGAGCTCAACATGTGCGAGTCGGTAGAGAGTAGGAAACGATCAAACGTAACAATTCTCAGATCCCTGCCGAGGCACACGTCTGCATCCCGAGAAGAATCACTTGATCTCGAGAGGTTGGCGCTGTCTCTTAGGCGACGTTCCAACCTCCCCGGCCGCTACCATTCTGTCCTTCTCAAATATCCTGCCAGGCTCACGTTGTCACGAAAGTGTCGGACAGGAAAGTGTGCCGGCTCCATATGGAGGTATTCTTAGACAATCAGAACGCTCGGAATAGGTTGCTCGCTTGGTTTCTCGTTTCCATCCTCGTCTACGGAACTCGATTCCCTAAATCGTCCCGTTCTCTAACTTCGACGTTTCTCCCAATCCGCCATTCATGACACGTGTTTGGAGAATTCTTTCTCTCCTATCTTTCTCTCGGAATGAAATATCAAGGAAAAGACTGATCGGATAGCGAAACGAGTGTATTCTCGCATCTCACACCAGGTGGATCCATTCAGGACTCATTTCTAGAAAACCATCGATACACATAACACAGAACAATGCTCATCGAACCGAGACCGCGTTATCAGCACGGGCCGGATCGCTTGGAGCGCTGGAAGTCCGCAGTCTGCGCTCCTTGTGCGAGTTGTTTGAGCCAACTATCTCTTCGGAATCAGATTGAGGTGCCGGGCGTCACAGTAAGTAACCCTCCCAAGAGTCTCGCCGATTCCAGATCAAAGCTATCCTCCGTAGGTCTGTACACGACTCCTTTGTTCTTATAAACGTACGGTAGGCGCAACACCCAATATGCGCTCGGGGTGAGAGTGACCGTTTCATATGGGAAGAATACAGGGGCAGAAGGGGCCGGTTGCACTCGGGGTTCTAACGTCACATCTACGGCGAGTTTAGGAGTGACGACATGGATTCGCATCAGTTGAGCATTGGCCTGACAAGAGCAGGGACACGAATAATAGAGCGGCATCGGAGAAGACACGATTTTGTTGGCGGTTTCCTTCACGAGACCCGATGAGGTCGATCTGAAAATAGTAATTTTGGTTCTGATAGACTCTGCTCTCGTTGGAAGCAATCAAGGCTCTGATCGTGCAGTCCTCTGACTGAGCTTACCGGAGAATACTGTCAGGCGCCGACATCATGAAGCGTTTGCCATCCGGGCATTCATATTCTAATCCGATAAAGATCTTCACGGCCCTAGTTGTTCCCTTACGCGTATCACCGCTCGCCTCCAAAATCTCTTTCGGGAAATCCAACTTCGTGTCCCAGGGTAACAGAAAGTTACTGCCTGGGAAGAAAGCCTTCTGGTCAACGATCCCACTCTTATGGGAGTACCGCGACGATGGTCCGACGCAAACACAGCTCCATGATGAGAATTTCGGGATGAAAGGAGTTTGAGTGCACGTCATGTCGGCCTCGCTCTCCTCGTCCGACGCAAACTCCAAGTGCTCGAGCTCAGCACAGCAGTCCGCCATCTCGTAGAATTCGAAATTCGCCGCGATCAGCTTGAATGGATCGGGTCTGGTCATGTGCGACCTTCCGCAATTACAGACAGACAAGTAGTGGACACGAGCCTCGTGTTCCCCGGTTTCGTGGATGGGTTTCACGCAGCCGAATCCAGTCAAACTCTGCAACGAGATACTCGATTTAGTCTATCTGATTCAAAATCTGTGACCGTACCGGACATGGTCTTCCAGCGCTGAATCACCTTCTCTTTACAAGACTCGTGTCCATCCCTCCAGTATCTGTCGCAGTCTTGTCGAAGCTCCTCCACCAGCTTGTGCACTGTCGGTCCTTTCGCTTTGGCTTTGAATACTTTGACGGCGTAGGCCATGCGGGCCTGATGGACGAACTCGTCATAGAATTTGGGGAGATTCGTTTTGTAGGCTTGGAAGGCGACAGGGTAAGCCTTCGAACATCGGACCTCACTAAACTTCGCGTCGATATCTATCTCGTTGACGTTCCGGAAAAAATGGACCATTTTCTCGAATGTCGTCACCCATTTATGGAGTTTGGGTCGTCTGAAATACGCCACCCCTGCGTTCCGGCCCACGTTGTCGTTGAACCCTTCCTTGAACGCAAGTCTAGTATGGCCCTCAATGAACGGAAGGCAGTTCTCGTGACCGACATGGACGAAGGTACGAGTGGTTGGAATCGCGAAGAGAGAGTTCCCGCAGTTGTTGGTGACGATTCGACTTCGACGCAGGGTCCTGCAAGAGAGCTCCGGCTCATTATATGAACCGCTCTGCGTCCATCATCCCCACAGCCCGGATTCCCATGCAGTATGTATTGATATTTGATCATAATAATCAGTCGAACATCGTTCATGCACGCTTGCTCAAAATCACGGACAACCCAATGGATCCAGTCCGAGGAGAGCTCGCGCTGCGAACTGCAAGCCCAATCGATGTCATTCTTGGGCTTCATCGACGGAGGTTAAGGAACGAATAAAGATTTTGGGTTTTCACATCAACAATCGATCAATTTTTTTCACTTTGGTTCCCCTCAGGTTTGTATGGAAGCTCGTACGACGGAACACGCATCGGAGCACTCTCTACGTGAATCTAACCTGTAGATGAGGTCCTCCATGTTCGCTGAGATATTTGGGAGATCGTCTAAACATGGTCGTAGCAGGAATAAGGCGCGCGGTGAGCAATACCTGTAGACGGGAGACACTTCGTATGCAAGAGGGCGATGTCATCTACAGAGCTCCACTATGGATACCACGACGAGGCGGAGATGAGCCTTACCTTCCCGCTGGTCGGTCGAATTTTTTCTGCAATTGCTCCTTGTTCTTTAGTCGAACCGCATCTAAGCGGCGGAACCACTGCAGATACTGCACGTCAAGTTGCCAGGTGTTCGCCGCGAAAACGAGCAAGTGGCTCACGTGTAGATAAGGAAGCGCCTTGATGGACAATTCACACGACAGATAGATGGTCCTGCAATGATGTCGAGGGGTTGGGTGATTGAGCTGTCGGAAAATGCGCGAAGGTTTCTCAGCTTTTCCGAAGCCCTACCTGTTGGCGGCATCGTAATAGAAGCGCGAATCACTGAAGAGGTTCGTGCACGAGCCATCCACTCGAGCTTTTGACACGAATGTCACTACACAGACCTGTCGAAAGAAAAGAACTTGTCCGTGTTGTTGTCCCTGCGAAAGCATATCGTCATAGTCTCAAGATTCTCGATCTATCGACTCACCTCATCGTCCGGGTGATCCAGAAGCGTTTTCACTGTGGTCTCATCGAAATCCATGACGAATTATCGATTTCGAGGACCGTCGAATCGCCCCGCTCCCAGGTTCCTTCGTGGCAGGCACAAGGACGGCTAGAATCACACTCAGGTCCACATACTCAATCAGGACGCACCCGGTCGGACGACCGACATGATCGGAGAAATGGACGCGAAGTGAAAGTTCGAAAGAGGTCCTGTTTACGTACGATATATCAATACAGGATCCGCGGTCCTGTGGAGGCGGCCATCTTGGATTGCAGCAGCGGCTCTCCGAGAGACCGAAGCTCTTCTCGGTATCGGTGAGCGACTCCTCAGCCACAGATCCGGCCTCGGAACGTCTTCGACTCTCGTATGGATCACAGAGCCTTCATAATATACATTTCATACGCTTCCATTCTCGTAAATTGTTCTTGTTCGTTTTGAATTTGGCGCCGCTGTCATCAAGCGTGTTATGTTGTCTAGCGAAGGGCCTGTGCAGACCAACTCGTGAGTCGGCACTTTGCTTTTTGAAGCGGTTGTCGTTTTTCGGACTTCTGAGATCGCTGAAAGGTTTGTTGATGGGGATGGTGTCAGATTTTGATCTTTAGTGCCTAATTGGCGCAAGTCCCATGCTGCCGCGGAGTCTGAGGGCGCGATAAGGTGTGTCGAAGTGACTCCGCTTTTCCCGACGATACGGCACACCGGCAGCTCCAGAGCGCTCGGTGAGATCGTCCTGCGGCCTCGGATTTGAGTCGAATAGCATTCCCGCCTGCCAGTTCGTCCCCGCCGAGGACATCGGAACTCTGGAATCCGTGGGGCATCATCTGAGCCCGAATCCTGGCGGCGTGATGGACATGGTCGATTTCCTCTGAAAGCTTCTTTTCCCGATATTGGCGAGTCCTAAGCCGGAGACACTCGCCGTGATTCCAGATCCTCGGCGGGAATGCGTTATTCCTGTCAAAATCTCCCATCCACGATCGAGTTTCGGAATTTTCCCTCCCGAATTACTTTCCGTCTGCTTATACCGTCTTTATTTCCGATGGCGGAAGCCCCCGGATCATCATGCTCCCCTCCGCGATCTCGGATGACAGATGCTGGCGCAAGCATGCGAGATCGAAGTATTATGCGGAACGGGTTCCGGTACATCTCGTGGGCATTAATTAGGGTCGTTCTTCCTCAGATGTATCGTAATCAGTACGATAATGATGTCACGGTGTGGAGCCCGCAAGGCCGTCTACATCAGGTCGAATACGCCATGGAGGCAGTCAAGCAGGGATCTGCGACGATCGGTCTGAAGAATGAGGATTATGCCGTCCTTCTTGCGCTGAAACGAGCATCCTCCGAGCTCTCGGCACATCAGAAGAAAATCATACCGATCGATCTCCACGTGGGGGTCTCTCTCGCAGGTCAGTAATTCGGATAACTTTATCAGGTTCATCTTCTGATTCGACTGATCGCTCACCAGAAGCTTCTCCTGCTGTCCTCCGACGGCGGAAGATTCGTGCGGTATGGAAAACTCTCCACAAGAACCATCCTCTTGTTGCAGGTTTGACAGCCGATGCGCGAGTCCTCTCGAAAATCATGCGCAACGAATGCCTCAACCACAGATTCGCCTTCGATTCCCCGCTCCGTATCGCCAAACTTGTCTCCTATATGGGGAACAGAATGCAGTCTTGTACACAGGGTTACGATAGACGTCCATATGGGGTTGGACTCTTGATAGCGGGTTACGATGACAGTGGACCTCAAATCTACCAGACGTGTCCGTCAGCTAACTTCTATAACTGCAAGGCGATGGCGATCGGCGCCCGTAGTCAGTCTGCGAGAACTTACCTTGAGAATCATCTCGACGAATTGAAAACGTGAGTTCAAGCATGTGACGCCGAGGTCTTTTCCGGGTTGGCTTCGGCTCGGAGCTCATAATGGCTCCGCTCTCGTATGAGTGACGACGAATTCGTAAACGACGATTCTATTCCCACAGCGCATCCTTGGACGATCTATTGAGGCACGGACTACGAGGCTTGCGGGATTGCCTGCCGAACGATGTGGAACTCAGCAGTAAAAACGTGTCGATCGCCATCGTCGGTAAAGATCGGAACTTCACCATCTACGAGGATGAAGGATGCGAACCGTTCCTCGCAATGATTGCGGGTGAGGATCGTGGTCGCGGTGAGCGACCACCAGCTGCAGATGATCCCGAGGAAATGGAACGGTAGACCAGCTCGCTCAATCACCATCGGGAGACTTCGATCAGAGATTGGGCGCATGATGGACAGGTTGACCATCGCGTTATTTAATACTTTTCGAGTTTCTCGACCTTCATCCTCAATAAAATATCGATCGCATGGTTTTTACAACAGACGGCCGAGCATGTTTTTCAGCCAAGGTTCCCGGTCTAGCGCCGGCGTACGATGTCTGATTGCGATTCCGAGAAAAGCATCAATGGGACCCTGCACCCTCACGATTTTCTCCTTTCGAATTTCTCCAGTATTTTGTAGTAGCGTTACCCCGGCGGACACCTCGGGTGGAGAGTGCTGGGAGGGTAGGGAGAAATCGGAGGACTGGGAGGACTAGTTTTCATATCTCACAGCGATGAAGGGGATTCCTCCAGGTTGATTGGTCGTTTCGCATCGATCCACGTCGAGTCTGCTGATACCTCCTCGACGTCGATATTAAAGGCTTCCTCGTCAGTATTTTCGTCTGCTAACCCTACGGAAACACTCTCAGTCAGAATTTCCTCTTCGACGGTCATAACAGGAATGATCTCAAACATCATTCTCTCACGTGTACCATCTATGTGCGCTTCCAGGCGGCTGCTCCTTTCTGAATACGCGGGGACTGTGATTCATCTCCTCGAGCCTTGCGTACGGATTCAATGCTCTGGATCTCATGGAGCTATGATTGCTAGGTGAAACGCAACCCGTCGCAGCTGTTTACAGTTTTCAGCGGTGAGCTTCTGAGCCTCCGGAACCCGCGAAAATGACGGGAGATCGGAGAAAATTCGATTACCACGGCAAGAACATTCTAGCTCCCATGGTTCGCGTGGGGACACTGCCAACACGTCTGCTGGCTCTCGAGTTCGGTGCTGACCTCGTCTACTCAGAGGAACTCATCGACTATCGACTATTGAAGTGCAAACGAGTGGAGAACACACTCCTAGGGAGCATTGACTACATCGACGCCGAGAACCAGATACTTTACAGAACTTGTGCCGCCGAAAGAGGTCGGAACATCGTCCAGATAGGGACTTGCAGCCCAGAGAGAGCGGTCAGAGTCGCGAATATGATCAAGGCAGACGTTGCCGGCATCGACGTGAACATGGGCTGTCCGAAAGAGTTCTCCATCAAAGGGAACATGGGCGCTGCGCTCTTGACTCAACCGGAGAGGATTGAGGCGATATTGACCGCTCTCCGCGAGGCCCTCCCCGATCATCTCGTCACTTGCAAAATACGTGTTTTTGACGACGTCGAAAAGACCATCGAACTCTGCAAGCGAATGGAAGCTACCGGAGTCGATGCAATCGGCGTTCACGGCCGTACAAGAGACGAGAGACCTCAACACGCGAACCGGAATGCCGCAATCAAAGCTGTCGCAGATGCGTTGAGGATCCCCGTGATCGCGAATGGCGGATCATCTGAGATCCGGAACCACGAGGACATCGACAAGTTCCGCCGGAACTGCGGGGCGGCAGCTGTCATGATCGCGAGACAGGCGGAGGAGAACGTGTCGATTTTCCGTAAGGAGGGCATGCTTAGCTGGCGGGAACTCGTCGACCGGTACCTCAGTGCTGCTATCGTATGGGATAATCGCTTCCCGAACACAAAATACTGCATACAGCGCATTCTCGGGTCGCTGCAGGATTCGACGGACGAGGGCCGGAAGTTCCTTCACACAAGGTGCATGGAGGACATCTGTGATATCTGGGGATTCCGAGAACTGTTCGAAGAGAAGCAGGCCCAGTGGGAAACCGGGGGATCGTTGCGTGATATTGACGATGACGGGACGCGCATCAATAGGGGAATCAAGAGGAAGATGGAGAACGACCCGGATACCTTCGGTATCGAGGTGAAGTTCTGTCGGAATCTTTTCGGCATGTCCGACCTCCCCAAAACGGTCCTTTTGAACAAAAGCCGAGCGGAAGGTCTTGAGCAGCCGGACTACGAGATAATTCCCGTCGACAAGATGTTCCGAGCGGTGGTCGTTTACGGCGGCAAGAAGTACACAAGTCTCTTCCGCGAGAAAAACAAACGGATGGCTGAGCAAGGAGCTGCCTTGGTTTGTCTCTTCGCGCTCGGGGTGATGGGTGACGACAAGATCAGAGGGGAGTCGGAAGCGAAACTATTTGCCGAAAGCCTCCGGAAAGCTTAGTGAGCTCGCCGAGCAGGTACACAATACACCTGTTTCTTTTCGCAACCAGAAGACTCGCTCCGCTCTTTGTACAATTTAGGTAGAAATTTCCGAGGTGGAATGAAGAAAATTGTGTCTGCCCCCATACAGGCTGTTTATGGAATAAATCCAAGACGCGCTTCTGCTCATCGGATTTTGCGTTTATTTCTCTGCCTATATCCCAGAGACAAAACTCAAGCTCACCATGGGGATTACTCAATCGATGAGTCACTTCATCTTCTGCAGTGCATTCATCGGCTGCGCCGTTTTCAGTCTATCACAAGCTTTCCGGAAAAGTTGGCACGAATATTCAGACGAGAACATCTGGGCCCACAGCGATGTGTATAAATTTGAGGATGTATGCCGAAGTGTTACAATCCACGGCTCGATCACGTCCTGTTTCTCGAGGACCTTCGATGGGTCGGACACAATGCTTTAGAGGTCATGCGTTTGCATTGCGTGCCGTCTTTATTCGTCCCTTGGCATCTCGTTTTCTCCAAGCCAGATTGTTGCGTCGAAGAGGAGTAGTCGCTCTGAGCTACCGATGCCTGTGAAAGGATACGCTCTCGTAGTATTGGTTCGTTCCCGAGAAGCATTCCGTTTATGATACTCTCTGCCCCGGCGGAAAAATAGCTGGCTTACTTGGTCCCACTCCAAATTCCCATTCGGGTCTATATATTCTGCGGATGAGGCCTGCGGGGAGAACTGGCCATAATTAAGGCGGATCTTATAATTTTTCGAAGAGGAACTTCCTTATGAGAGAAACGCGTCGCCCCGTGAAACTCACAATGAACTTCTCTAGATCCGACGGAGCGTAGGGCTCTTTGAATTGGTGATCCTTGGAAGGCGACAGCATCGCGATGACATTGATGCGTTCCTCCATGCTGGAAAGCCAAGTCTCAAGTGGTGATACTTGGGTAGGGGAAGTCAAGACACTGCGTGCCAATCGGAGGTCTGCCTTCACTACCTCCACTATCTTACGTTTTGATGGATTCCACGAGTTTGTGGAATTCTTCCTTAGATGCAGGCTTCTGTTTCGCTCGAAGTTTCGTCAGGACGATTTCCACTACTGTCACGCTGGCAACAGCAACAAGCAGCTCAGTCAGAGAAGCGTGATAGTCTAAGATGGATAGATACATTTTTTAACGACAAGCTTTGGAGTACCCACAACCCCGTATATTCGAGGAGTCTGCGCGAGCACTCAATTTTCTTCTCCCATCCAAATTAGGATATGACAACGCAGGCTCGAAGGTCCACTTCATCGTCAAGAGAGGAGAAAGAACGCGTACCTGATGTTAACTTGAGGTAGAAATTCAATGGGGTCGCTGTGATGATGATGAGACGACTGACGAACGGGAATTGCAAGAAGGAACCGACAACCATCATGAGAGCGAGCAATCCGAAGTGGCTCGCAAATGTAGCCGTATCGCCATCGACTGCATGGGATTTGGAACATTTTAGATTCCGAGGAAAGATTCAGCGTGGAGCGTCGCTATACGAAGTCTGCATCTAGACCTCAATCCACGAAGACATATCTCTCCCAATTCAGATTCCAGATGCTCGCTTCCAACCTTCGTGCTCGATGATGAGCGATCGCGCCCATCTCGTGTGATCGCTGACGGTGTTCTGAATCGTCATCAAGAGACTGCCCAAAGCTCCTAGGGACTCGTTAACCTTGCTGATGCCCTCGAGACTCGCTTGCACCTGGGAGATAATCGGGGGAAAAATTAGACATCAGAGTTGCAAACGACTCGGGCTCGAACTCACGATCGACGGGAAGCTTCAGGCGGTCGCAAAAATCGGGCGGTCGGATCCAACCTTGAGATAGGTGAGATCTTGGAGTGCCAACAAGCTCTCGCCTCGACCTTCTAGTTCTGTCAGGAGCTCTCGTAGCGAGGTCTCGTAGAGCTTCAGAATCTGATCCATGGTTTGCCTCTGAATTTTCAGAAGTTCTTCTTGCCTCTGCACTTCGGCCACTGTAGAATCTTAACGCGGAAAAGAAATACATTCGTCAGAAGCAGTCTCGCACGCTATCGGTACGGTTTTCCCCCGAAATAGCCAAGTGAACAGATTCCCGGTGCTTTTCGAGCACGCCGGATTCAGCCGAGACTCACCCAAATGCGTTTTCACCTCGTTCGTGATTTTGATCAGCTGGTGGCTCCCACTCTCGAGGATTTTTTGATCCGTTGACAGTTGCATCACGTTCTCGTTCAGAGCGGTCTCCAAGTTCTTCTGCTTGGCAAGAAGCTCTTCGTGACGAGAAACCATCGATTCATGCTGATCGTTCAGGACGTTCATTTGCTCGGCGGCTGAAGCTTGAAGATTCATCAGCTGCAATCAGAACATAAACTCTCACCGTTGCTGCCAACGGAGAGGGAACTGCAATCGCTGCAGGCGTTATATCTTGCTCCGACCATACCTTCCCATGCCATTCGTGCATTTCTTGAAGTTCCCCGAGCTGATCCTTCGAGGCGATAGCGAGATGACTGACGAGCATTTCAACCCGTGCTCGGAAGAGCTGCTGATTCACGGAGTGACAGAGAGCTAGGGCGCGATTCGTCATCAGCTGGTAAACGGTCCATGAATTGGGATCCATAGGTTTCGTACACTCGGCCAATGTCATGCTGCTCTTGCAAGGGAATTGAGGTCTACCTGAAAGACGGAAACGAGATTCAACCCAACTCGATGTGAGAATCTGGCTCCCACAGCTGTCAAAAGCGTCCCCCATCTCATGACGCTCGATGCGCTTGATTTATGGGCGAGAGATGATGGGGCATTCTCGGACCCCCGTGCTTACGCTCAATGGCATTCTGACAATTTAGCAGATTCACTGCCATTTTCCCAATCTGCTCGTCGTCGAGGTGGCCACATTTTTTCCTTAAGCTCAGCACCAGTCTACGGTGACAATCCGCGAGAGGTGAATCGTTTCCAACGGCTTCCAGGTCGAGCTTCTTCGCTTCTTGCAGGAATTTTTCGTCTGTAGGACTCAAGTCGAATGCAACATCTACCGCAAGAGCCTAGGAGGATGAATTCATTAGAGTTCCGGGCGAAAAACGCACTGTCTGAGCGGTTAGCGAGTCCGCGTCGGATCCGATCGAGACGAAATTTTTCCCATGAATTGTATTCACGGCCATTCAAATCAACTCTTGAAATTTTCTTTCCGCAAAGCGAAGACAAGTATCGCGGATACAAGGCGGAGAAAGTGAAAATCGTCTCACGTACAGCAGTAGAGTCCGCCGAAGCGTAAGTCTCCGAAGATGGAGTTTCCTCCCCGCTCAAGGTCCATTTAAAAATGGACAAGAACGGAACCACGCTCACAGGATACGAAGCTAATATCAGTACCAAGATTAACTTCATGACTGCTTTTTGAAGACAGATGACGAGATTTCCGGGAGTTCCTCTGAGTTCTGGGAGGGATTTCTTGGTCCGGATCTGGGATTGTTCACATTTTTAGCTTGTTTTCTTTCCTCAACTGCCCGGTTTGCACCGACATGAATCCTGATGCCTGATTGGCTGTCGGCCGTGTGACGTTTCGTTGACGCGGCAGAATTTGAAAGCTCGCAATGTCCCCCCCACCCAGGATACCTGAGGTAAACGTGTCGTCGAGAAGAATTCGACCTCACTTCTAGGAAGTTGTGCTCGACAGTTATTCCGAGGCTAACTGAGAATCGGTCGGGATCCATGGGGAAAATCGTTCTATCGGGCATTCCGGCGGCTAGCGCGACCGGCCTCCCGCGCTCGTGCTGTCCCGCCGATCAGCTGTTCTTCTCGAGCATCGCGCGGCGTCGTAGTCGCGCGGCTGTTTCCTCGAAGATTGAGTTCCAATCGAATTCTAGATGTGCAACTGAGGATATCGACTAAAGCGTCGAGCCTGACAGGAAGAAGACGATTCCATTTGGCCCCTTAGGGGTTCGTCAAGCAACGTTCCCGTGGAATTAAGTTCCCTCACGAGCACAGAGCAAAAATGCTCCCCTCTTTCTTGAAGGTTCCCTCAATAACGGGTGCCGGGTGAGTTGTCTCCCGCATTTCCATTCTCGACGCGTTTCGTCGAGCACCGAATATTCGATGAAATCCTCCGTTCTATACAGGGTTGAGAGATTCGAATTCGTATCGAGACACTTCGTGCACGAGATTATCATCCATCACTCGTCACGGAGATCATCGATGTCAGGTCCCTGTTCCGATTTGTTGAGCTCAACGAGAACCACATTCAGACGCTGGGCTCATCAAGCAGACTATTCATCGGAGAATACTCGGTCCTGACGTTTGATTGGGGTCGGCGTGGAGAAACTCGGGAAGGGGTCTTTGACAGCTGTCTCGACGATACGTCAGCTCAGAGCTCGGAGCGCTGCCTTCTCTCGGATCGAGGATATCATCCAGGAATCGGGATGTCGATCAAATGTGTCTCAAGACATGATTCCCGGGCTGTGGAAGCGACCTCGGAGGAAATCTCGTTGGAGGAAACCTGAAATGCTCACAGTACGCTAATGATTCATCCTTGTTCCAACCTATCGAGCGTACACCGTTGCTCGAAGGAAGGTTCCGGACGACAAATTATGAGATCTTGTTTGGGCTATAGTTTGGATGGGATAGATGGTATTCTTGAGAGACATGTCGGGGCTAATCAAGCCGATCTTGAGCCAGGTAGCGGCGGATCCAGTGGCGGATCTTGGAGGGGGGAAAAAATCTGGATCCGCCACTGGTGCCAAGCTACGTGGAGGCTGAAGAATTAGCTTGCGTTCTGGCATAATTAATTAATCTGGCATCGCTCGGATGTGATTCTGGAATCTTTGCTCCGCTGTGTCACGATAGCCCGCGGAGACAAGATTCGCGCCCTCACTCATTCCTGGGGATCGAGTAAGAAGGTCTTCTGCGACGACCCGAGCCTCGCTGTTGGTTGAACATCGTAGCCAAGGCTGAGGCGATGCCGACAAACAAGCAAACGCTCCTCCTGGTCTCTACCAACTTCCAGTTCAAATGTCAGGAACCCCAATTTTGAACGCCGCAGCAATGAATGAATGTCGAATGAAAACGTCGCAGACCCTAGACCCGGGTTTCTGTGGAGACGATGCGGAGGGACGAGCAATAGTTGGTAAGGTTTCTTCGGGCTTGGATATCGACTAGCTCGCTCCCAGACCGCTGCCGGGAGAAAAAATCGGGGGAGGTCAGAACTTCGTCAGGTTTCGTGGGCGGGGTACTAGTCTTGGCTCGAGCGAATCACTCTGAGGAACGATCTCCGCCGTATCGAGAGCTCGAAACATACAAAGGAAGACCGCCTCGATCAGCCCCTCTGTATCACATTGGTACTCCCGGCCGCCCGAAGCCCCCATCGAACGCTGTCATCAGCAATTATCGTTGGGAAGAAGCCAATGCGAACCCGAGTCCTCAGGCGTATCCCTAAACCTTCCCGAAATTCTATCTTTTCAGCCTGACGTCTAGCGGTCGGAGGAGCCTGCTGCGATATTTACATCATTCCACAAAGAGAAAACTTGTTCTCGGAATCGAAACCAGCTGCGACGACACAGGAATGGCTATCGTCGATGAAGCAGGTGACTCATATAGGATTTTCCTTGAGCCTGGATACAGTGGTATGAAGGAGGGAAGTAGTATTCCTGGGTCTGAGCCCTCTGCGGGATCCAGATCCATCATAAGGCGACGTCGGTCGGTGAACGCTACCCGGAGCGTTTGAAAAAGAACCTCTCGCAGCCTGGATCATGGAAGAGCGAGGAGCTCATCAATAGCTCGACTTCTAAGATGACAAGCGTCATGCGCTACCAGCTCTTATCATAAGACGCTTTTTCCCGCTCAGTAGTATCAGATGCCAGCTCCCTGGGAGCATCGGATCTGTACAGGAGCCCCATTCCTAGCTTTTCGGCTTCGACAAAACTTATCAGAAGCTTCGGATTGAGACACGAGGAGTTCGCCTTTTTCGGGAACGGTCGTCGGGATCGAGTTTCGGGTGCGAAGGCGTAATATTCAAGTCTCCCCATTGAACAGCTGCTCGCCATAGAGATCCTCACACCGAAGGATCGAGTTACGCCACGAGGGAATTTCCTGAGAGTGATCTTTCGGACAAAAAATCTTGTTCTCGCAAGACTCCCCGAACGAACGAGCTTTTACACAGATGCCGAGCCTGCGGATGAATCTGACCCTTGATGATTCGGAGAAACATCTGTGATATATATGTATGTGTATTTGGAATATATCAGTACATGTATAGCGACTCGACGCTGGCACTCGCGGCGTGGTTGGTCTCCACCTCATAATATAAGCTGAATCTCGACCGAGCGTTATTCACGCGAAACTCCAAGCTGAACCCCAGATCTAGATCCACTGAGCTCGGGTTGGAATTCGCTGTGAAGCGACGCTCGTCTAGAGGGATGTTCAAAGAGACACGCTGTCTTCCCGTCTGCCGAAGATATCGGGGGCAACCTCCGGGGAGGCTCAGTCTAAAGGAGATGGACCAGGTCGAGATCCGACTAACGCTCCGTCAATCGGCTCGACAGTCACTGGGCTTGACGTTCGAGGACACTGTTTTGGAGAGACGGTGTCTAATTCCCGACTTTGACATTCCAGGGAATATCCTCGGCGAAGCTCACCACTCACAGCTCAGAACCCATGTTCGTTTCGGAGGAGTGCTGCCCCCGCTCGCAAGGGACTTGCATAGGCAGAACATCGCAAAAGTTCATTCGGACACTCTGAAGGCGGCTGGCGTGGACCCACGCGAAATCGATGCGGTGGCAGTCACGACAAGACCGGGCATGGCTCTGAGTTTGGGGGTACGTAGAAAATCCGGCGGCCCGGTTTTAATCCCTTTATCGGACAGCTGGGCGGGGATCCCTCAGCAACTCTCGTTTCCTCTCCCCAGGTCGGCTTGGAGCACGCGAAGAAATTCTGCAAGGAGAACTCCCTCCCGTTGATCCCCATCCATCATATGGAAGCCCATGCTTTGGTCGTTCGGTGCGAGAACCGCTCTGTGGACCTTCCATACCTCGTACTGCTGGTGTCCGGCGGTCATTCCCAGGTGCGTTGTCGGAAAAGAGTGGAGGAAGGCCGTTTCGGCGGCCGCAGCCTCGATGCGCGGCCTGATGATGGAAGCGGTCGTTCTGCATGCGGGGGCGTACTCGATGTTTTTTTGTACGCGCTTGACGTTTAATATCTCGTCTCCGAAGGTAGCCGTTGTCAGGGACGTGACGGACTTTGCGTTGCTCGGCAGCACGATAGACGATGCGCCAGGTGAAGCTCTCGACAAAATAGCCCGGCGGCTCAAACTGAGTAACCTCCGAGAATTTCGGGAACTCAGCGGAGGGGCCAGTGTAGAACTTTTGGCCAAACGAGGAGATCCGAGGACGATGAAGTATCACCAACCCTTGTCGGACCGCAAGGATTGTAATTTTTCATTCTCAGGTATTGCTCTTGACGGGAAAAAATATTCGCATCTCTGCCTCTCTCGGGTCCCGACAGTTGCGGGCAGGCATCGGAAATTCGCCAGGAACTTCTTCGTTCCAGGTTTCAAATCGATGACTACATCTCAAGTGATGCGGCTCGAGAAGGGGCTCGGAATCCGAGGTGACGCAATTCTGCCGAACGCGGCTGATATTTGCGCCAGCGTGCAATACTACATGTGTTTGCACATCATGAAGCGAGTCTTCCGAGCTATCATGTTCTGTCGACGGAAAGGGATCGATTTCGGCGACCGTCTCGTCATATCCGGTACGTGATCAAGCCTTCATTCCGAAAGTTATCGATTCGCCCTCTCGCTCCGATTAGAGCTTCCAGAGAGCGGATAAATCATTATTATCTATCCGGAAATAAATTCAACGGCATGGGCTGCGGAAGTTCTACCTGGAAGTCGAGCGCTGCACCATTTCTCGAATGACAAGATGAGTCGAAGCGCGAACCGATAATGGCTTGCGACTCTGATTCATTTTCATTCGGTGTAGAACAACGAGCTCTGCGAGGTCGGGCCGATGCTCATGAGCTTCTTCCGCTGCCCTGATTCTGCCAGTCACTCAAGTCCGATATATGGTATCATACAGTGAAGAGTTTGTGACGAGGAACGTCTTGGCGTGCTTTCAGGGGGAGTGGCCTGCAGCCTTTACCTCCGTGCGTTCATGAGGCAGCTGTGCGAAGCCGAAGACGTCGAACTTTTCGTTCCGCCGCCCCGTCTCTGTTCAGACAATGGAGTGATGATCGCCTGGAACGGCGTCGAACGGCTACGGGTCGGCGAAAAACCTAAATCCCCTCATGAGCTGGACGAGCTCGGATTCGAGCCGAGTTGCTCTCTAGGGGAAGATCTCAGAGAACAAGTCTCCAGGGAATGCATTCGCATCCCACGCTTCAAAATCGACCTGGTCAGATTGCTCACCGAAACAGGTAACATCCATGCGAGCGGATTCCCCCCCGATAGAGGAATTTCGCCGAAGAGAACAAGCAAGGACCTTGCGGAACAGATCAAATTACTCGAAGTGCACGACAGCGAAGATACAAAGACAGCTGAGTTAGCCTGACTGAGTGAACGAGGGTACATTATTCTCGACGCGTCTGCGGAATCTCGTTCCGGGCGTGGAGGAAGTCTCCTGACCCGAAGTATGTGTATGTTTGAGCGGATGCGGTTTGCGACTGGAAGAAGTTACTTCGAATGGAAAAGTGGCGCTTGTTTACCTCGAGCAAACATTTCCCTTTTTGATTCGGTTTCCTGCGCAAGAGGAATTCGCGTGCACAGGAAGTCGTCCTGCATGCGGGTGAAAATCGCTGCGTTCCCTGCGTCATACAATTAATTGTCCGGCTGCCGCTCAAGAAATGCTGGACGTCGGAGCTCCCCACGCATGATGGGAGATCGCGTTCAACGTACACCTCTTTAGCCGCTCGGAGCGAATTCCTAAATCATCCGGGATGTGTGACGTGTCGCGCGATGCTTCTGCCCGACGGCGTTCTTGGCTTTCGCCGACCGTCGAAGCCTCCGATGAAGGGAACGCATTGAGCAGGAACTTGTGAATACGGAGTTGTATTCCCGGAGTTTCTCTTGAGGTTGCCAAGAGGATCGGCTCGCATGATAGAGAGCCCCTATTGTGACCTTGAGGAACATGGAACTACACATGAAGGAAAATACCTGAATTTTGTAGAACCAACGTTTATGTTCATATGAATAAAATAAGGACCATGTTTCACACCGATTCACTGCTTCTCAGAGTTATAGACAAATACTGTATTGTGTTTGTTTGCGCTGAAGTCCTGCGACTTCAACACATCCATACTCTCAAGGTATTGAAGTTGTGGTATCGAAATAATGGATTTGTTAACAATCTCTATAACATTGGGTTTCTTATCTAAGCCTACCTAAGAACACCTTTAGAGGATGCTCTGCTCACAATTTAATTCCTTATTTTGTGATTCGCGTTCACAACTTGAGAATTCCTGTTGAAATTGAACACGACAGGGGATTTACAAACGATTCGAGAACCGCACTGCGAAAAGGACTGCGTTCCGTTCCGCTGGATCGATGAACAGCATACACAGTCGTCGTTTCTGGTTGGTTTCTCAATCGGTGGATTTTCCGAATGTATTCCTAAATACTCATCCGGTGGCTCCAGGGTTTATACTCATTACACGGATTTTCTAGCGGTAAGTGATTGTTTTCCTTGGATTTTACACTGACGAGTTGCCTTCTCCCAACATCGACTTGAATCATCTGGAAAACCCCTCATTCAATGTTTTCCTCCTTGTCTTTCGCAGGGATTGATTCCGTGAAAATCATCCTTGATGAATTCGGTTGGGAATCGTCAGCCGTCACGGGTTAATCGTGCGATCTCAGCATAGGAATGAATGTAAGTTTCTCAAGTCGAATCGATGACATATCGTTTGTGTGACCATCACAGCGATATTTCTTGGCGTGACTCGAGCGTCAATCACCTTCACTCATTGAAGTTATGACCGGGATGAAGCACTGGAAAGGACTGATAAGGCCGAATGTCACTGTACGTCGTCGTATATTGTTCAGTCAGTCGAAAATGATGTATGCTGCGTTTACTGGCGCAAAATCGTCTTTCCGCTTCCATTGTCCGGTGAAAGTTTCTCATAGTTTTCTTGCTCTCAACACTGCTCTATGGGGTTTCTCGGTGATCGCTCGAATCGGATGGTGGATTCGAACGACACGGAGCGTCCTTGTGACGCGATTTGCTTTCGTCGTTCTGTCGGATCTCTTTCGATCTTTTCTCACACAGTGGGTGCAATTCTCCATCGTGAACGATCGCAGCTCGGTAAACAAGTCTCAATCACATCAACAACATCCTCATGTTCTGTGTTCTCATTTCCATCTTCAATATTCCACGCGAGGGAATGTGATCGCATGGTGGGTTTTAGGGAATTTCACCAGGAGCAACTGGAATTGGATGGAGTTGTTTCGCTCGAGAATTCGATCGTGAACATCCAATTCAGTTTCTTTCTCGCTAGTGAACAGAACCATGCTGTATTTTAATCGAGTTGATCTTCGGGTCCCGATGAATTTTCATCTGTCGAGGCGAGCGGTCTCGGTTCGCTACAACCACATGTTGTTCTCTTGCTTGCGGTAGAGGGAGTTTCATGCATAAATCTCCGCAAGTATATCTTAGTGTAGAACAGTCAATGAATTCTTGAGAGTAACGACCCCGTAGATGGCTAAGCTCGGGGAGCTCTCTCGATAGCATCGTGATGCCCTCACCCTTAAGCGCTCGATGTCGTTCTCTCTCGTCAGTTGTTCTCTGAGATACGCCGGGTCGTCTGTCTTATGAGCGCGACCGATCGGCTTGCTGAAAAGTCCCCGATATGGACTTCTGCATATATGCTTACTCAATCGCATGCCACATGTGATCCATCACTCTGATGTACATAAGTATGTAGCTGCTTTGCGGGTAAACGATTGCAGCGCGCGGTTGAACCGGTCGCGAGAGGCCCGATTCACTTTTCTACGATCTAGGGATTCGTCCCCTGATGAACTGCCTGTTGAAAATACGTCCGATTGACTGATAGCTGTAGCGTAGAAATCGGCTGATCCGAATGGGGTATTTGAGCACATCTATCGACGGCAAGTCGCTAATCCTCAATCGACAATTCTGCTGGACACGTTCGATTCATGAACGTGCCCTGATCGGACACAGCTGAAAATCGTATCAACTGGCTATGGCGATGGCACGAGGAATAATTGCTACGCATGCGATCATTTCCGGTCGTTTGCGTCCAGAGATGTTCCTTATTCCAGTGGTCGTCATTCTCCGGTAACCGCATCATTAAGGATCACGAAAAGGGTCATACTCTTGGTAAGAGATCTAGGAGGAAGGTACAGTAGGTCAACCCCTACAGTAGGTCTATAGTTCGCATGCATCTTGGTAGTAGAATAGAGAAGGATGAAGAAACGCTATAGGGTCTCAGAATACTATAGAGCACAGACAGGTCGCTATGCAATCCTGGCTGGTCTATATGCGCGCGAACTCCTCCCTGACCGAATTGAAATCGAAAACGAATTGGATTCTCCTTCCGGATTCCTCTCACTATGAATTCCGTTTTCTCTCCTTGAAATTCTCGTTTGTTTGTCCGTTCGTCCGTCCAAATGCCATGACGCCATTTCTTTTGATGTTTTAATTAGATAGCTCGGAACAGGGCTTTTGTTTTTTCTCTCGGTGTCTGCCGAACGAATTTCGATAGTTCTTCCGCAGGTCTTGTTCCGCGACGACTTCAGCCGAAGCTTCGGTCGAGCGGCATAGTCGAGGAATCTTTTGTTCTCTGGTGAATCTTCCCAGATATCTTCAGAGATGTGAAGCAGAGATTAGATCGGCAATTTTCTCAAAACTGAGATTAGAATAAGCCACCTGGTTCATCTCGTGTCTTCACCGTGTTCGGAACCGTGTGGAATCTCGATTTGTATTTTTGCCAGTATCCCGTCAATCATCGACTTTTGGCTAGCAAGTTCGCGCCCATGAATTATTCCGAAAGGTCTACAGATCTGAAGGCGGTACTTCAGGAGGGAGGGAGGGTCCGAGATCCGGGTCAGTAGATACCCTGTTCTCTCAGTTCGGGAAGTACAGACTCATCGTAGAAATAGGAGTAGGATATGCAGATTGGTCTGAGTGTCTACGGTAGAGGTCGAGAATACAGTCGTTCTGCCTATATCGACAGAAGAAGTATCGTAGATGATACGGTGGGACGAGAATCAGGCATCCATTTGTACGACTTGGAAAAGTCATTCGTTTCACCGCTGCCGCAGCAGCTGACGTAGATCTGTTCTCAAACGGGAATCGAGATGAAAATCTTCAGTATGTTCTGCTTCGAAATGTCAGGCCCCTGTCAGCGCGTTTTTGCCTTGGGATGGAGGGTGGCGAAACGAACCGCTGACCTGAGTGGCCTCGTTTCGGCAAAACCCGAACCGTTAGATATGGAGTCTCTTCTTTAAATTCTTACTGACAATGGTGAAGTCAAGCTGTGGTCGAGATTATTGTTCTGTCTGTCTGTCCGGAGAATTCGGGAAGTAAGCTTTCTCATTGGAGAGAGGATAAAGCCCTGGCGTGACGTCAACAGAGATCCTGCTTTCTTCCATTCCGAAGCACGCTGAGAGAAGATCACAAGCTTAGCGGTCGATAGCAGTTGGAGGGGATCAGGAACTGGGTAAGTCTCCGTAGAGGGCATGTGGAGATACTCCTTCACAGCGAAAAAAAAATAGCCGAACAATTGGTCGCGGAGGAGAGGGGTCAGGAGAGGAGGATCATGGGCGAGGAGGCGCGAGGCTGTCTCTCATCATCTAAGAATATCTAATCGGAGCTCTAGAATTCGTGGGCATGAAACAAAGCGTGTTTGGGGGGCTGTGAGGTTTCGAGAGAGCTTGCCGAACGATCCCGGTGCACGAGGGATCCGGGGAGGATTGATATGAGCCGTTCATTCAATACTTCGGAGCTCTGTTCGGATTGTCCGAGCTTTCACATGACGGCCCACCCAAGCCGAGCGCATACGGACGTCGCTTTTGAAAACCTCAATATCCATGACATGAGCTTGAGAACAAAAACAAGCGCCGAGTTTGCGAAAAGGAATTGGCCGTTCCGGTAAGGGGGTCGGGAGGGGGCCTTTGAGAATGGCTTCCTTGAAGCGCGTCTGTCCCGATTCTTTTTGAACTTTTTCGATGGTAGATCTTTCTCGTTTTCGTGGGACAACCAAACGAGAACGAATTCGAAAATTTCAATAGGAATGACATCGAGTCCCCCGAGAACTCATAACCGATGCATGCAAAGTTGCTTCATTGACGGGCTCTTGATAAGATATTCATTTCATTCGACGACTTGAAGCTTGAGGCCGTCGAGTAACTACTTTTCCGAAGTCTTTCGGAGATAGTACGGACTCGATGCTAGATCGACCTCGAACATCATCGGGTGGCCATAGAGGGCGACAATTTAAGGAAGTACAGGGCAGATTCAGCTTTCTGACGATCAGGTGGGTACTTGTGCGGCACCGATTTGAGTGGTGAGCGAATGTGCGGGCGAGCTCGCGAATATCGACAATTGTGGTTTTTCTTCTTGTGTGGAAATCGTGCAGGAGGTTTGTTTCGTGCAGGTTTGTCGCTGCTGTAGCTGCTCCAGAGTGGGTGAATTAGAGTTAGAGTGATGTGGTTGGTTGATGGAGCATGGTTGTTCGCGTGAACTGTTCGAGACGAACGCATTTGATGATGCATTCAATCTACGTTTGTTTCACTTCAGAAAGATAAGCCTGGGGCTAGATTTTGCTTAAGAGTGAGATGCAGGGGAGAATCAGGCGAACGCCTCGAGCGAAACGGACGCCCGATTTCGTCGAGCTTAAGATCCGTGAGCGAGTTGGCACTGTGACAAATTCGAATCCTGGCTTCGAAGATCTCTCGGCCATTTAGCTAACATGTGCATCAGGTTTTGTTGACGTTTCGTGTCGGAAGCAAGGTCGGTCTGAGGTGAGGGGAGCGGGGGAAGCAATCGGGGTATGGTCGTGGAACCGAGGGAAGATTCGATCAAGTCGAGAAAAGGCTTCTTGACTCGAATTGGAAAAGGATTGGGGACACATGCAGCGTTTCCTCTGGTTTCCGGGAAGGATCTTGGGACAATGGTCCCCAGGGTAGAACATGCAAGGTATTCATACATAGTTTCGGGCTGTCGTTCGTCGGGTTCAATTGTTGTTCTTTCGCCCTCTCCGCCGCGGTCTCGCAGCTCCACTCCGTATGACTGGTACGCCGGAGCATGTCAGCGACTCGCAGTACGAAATCACGATGAATGATTCACAACCTTAGCTTGTGGGGTCTCGTTGGCCCCCTGTGATTGCTGCCTTCGCAACTATTACCACCGTCGTGGGATTTTTCTGGAACGTGTCTCGAGCCGGATGAGTGAATGAGACTCCTCCGGATTCACCGAAGTATCGATGGCCTTCGCCCTGTGTCAACTGAGACGTTTCATAGTCCGCAAGTTGTGGCCAACCAATCCGAGGGGTTTAAAATTTGTTCACTACGAGCATGGTCGGACGACTCCAACTTGCGTTTGGCTTCGCGGCCCACGCTCAGCTGAGCCGTACAGGTTCCCAATCGCGCTTCGGAAATGTCGACTTTTATGAAATGTTTCAATAGGTCTCGATCGACCAGACAAGACTCGCTTCCACAAAGGAGGGCGTGGTGCGAGAAATGTGTAACGACCATTTTCGTAATGGAGAGCTACAATGGCAGAGTGCATGTAACACGAAATAATCACTTTTGTACTTGATCCGCTGCTGGGAATTCAGCGATTCGGCTCATCTTCCACTCCGGCATTCGAGATCGTGGTCCGACTGTCAGGCGAAGTCTATTTGGATAATAAAAATGAAATTTCCGCGATAACGACCGCGTACTTCAGAATCACCCTCCTTTGGAGGATATCTTGTGGATGCGGAGAAGTCTACTCGTTTTGGGTCCGCCTAATATTTCGCAGCGACAGTTCGCTGTTCGAATCTGAGGAACCGTTGGTTCCTGTCAGTACTTCGGAGAGGAAATTATATTCAATGACACGTTCTCGGAAGAAAGAGGATTAGAATAGGAAAAATGTCAACAGTGGTAAAACAGTTCTCACGGCCGGCACTCGAGCCAAGGTTCTTGAGATTCGTCATCTTCGTCAGCTCGGGTACTGCTTGTCCTTGGGGTTGATTACGAAGTGTAGTTACGACTCACTTTCTACCATCAAGTTTCTCTTTGTACGAAGTCTAAAATCGACCTCACGGAGGAAGGGCGGCGCTGTTATCGCCGCCCGTTGTTCCTCCGTCGTCTGTCGCTTCGTCATCGTGACTTCTACGTCTAGCAGTTCCCTGTGCTTCTGATAGAAGTCGGGCTTCTTGAATGGCAAGTTGGCCCACTCCCATGATCTCCGGAACTGCTAGATCTTGGGGCCCTCCTTGTCTATGAGCCGTCTCAAGGCTGCCCTCCGATCCCGGATGAGGGAGTGCCGGTCTACCCGGTGGAGCGCCGGGTTGCCGATGCAAAAACTCCTCCAACGAGTGATCGATCTTGGTGATCTTCTGATGTATTCGTCCTAGCTCCATCTTCAGGTCGATCCGCATATCCACAAGATTCGCGAGAACCTGGATCGAACGGGAGCTCGTTAAGCATTCTGGAGTCTTTCGGTGTACTCACGCCGGGAGTCCGGAACAAACCTGTTGGTAATCTGCGTGAGGCGCGACCTGTTGGCCCGATGAAGGGGCGGCCATGATCGCTGGAACCCTAGTCGCTCCAGTGCTCTGATCAGAACTGACACTGATTTCTCCAGCTGATTCCTCAATGGTTTCGTGACGAGAACTCGCCATGGTCTTCCCTGTCGAGTGGGAAGGCGCGTTAAATAAGATTTTCCGGGAATCCTATGCGAGAAGATCCCTCTGGAATCGCTAGCCTCATAGACGACATACCCCATTTGGAGAATCTAGTAGCTGCTTGACTAGGAGTTTGGCCGCCACCGTTTCCGGTGGAGACTTTTGAGGAACCTTTACTCGCTGCCGAATCTGTTCCTTCCTGAAAGCGAGAAAAGTAGAGGGGAACGATGAGACGATCCAGTGTCCTCCGGCTTGCTCAAAATTGGCTGCGATCGAACCGGAGTCATCTCAATTAATTTTCTTGTCGTTTCCCCAATCAATCCTTCGGATGATCGTTCGACTTCGCTCCGGGGCTGCGAATCGATCGAGGGCGGAATGCTCTCCTCGAGATTTCTACCAATGGATGCCGCACTTCAGAAGCTCCACTGAAAAAATCCCACTCTCGGACCTCCTACACATCCCGATGAATAGATTCGAGTCTGTTCCATACCATTGGATCTTTCGCAACATCGAGATCATTCTCTTTCTCTCGGTGCATCCCCAGATGATAGAATCGCTTGTTATTGTCCGAAGTAATGCTCCGAAGTTCTCAATGGGACTCAGCCGCCCTACATTGGCAATGTGAGTTTTCAATCTACCCTCCGAAATGATTCGTTGGAGTGGAACTTCAACGAATCATCAAAGTGTGGATCCTGTAGGGAATTCCTCCCCCCATAATAATCGACGTTCACTCTGGCTATCGTGTTCTATCTACACAGGAATCCGCCGAAAAATTCCTCGGTGCTTCTGCGGGAGATGGATTTTTCATTAATGTTCTGGCTCCGTAAGCTTGGCTTACCTTCTCAGCGACTTCTGGCGCACCGGTCGAGGACGTGGTGGTTATCGTTGTGGTCGTCGGAGTCGCGGCAGCGGCTGTTGTGCCGGTGTTCTCTTTGGAATCGGAACGGAGAGCGGCCCATCTGGACAGCTTCGGGCCCGCCGAGGGGTGCAATGCGCTAGGAGCCGGAGGCTCACTTACGTTGATTGACACGTTGCGGGGTAGCGGGACATGGGGTGCGTGCGAGGCAGGGTGGCCAGGGTGTACGGGGTTAGAAGCGGGTGTTTCTCCGCCAGCTGGAAACGATGCCGTCATGTTGCCTTTCTCAAGGTCAATCGAAGGCGGTCTGTGCTGCTGGTCCACGGTTGAGGCTGGAATTTCCGTGGAGAAAAAAGACGCATCAGATATGCGAACTCCGCTCAATCGTCAAAGAGAGCGACCGGATCCCGAGGATTCGGGCTCAAGCTGGTGAGAGGGCGGAGTGTGAAGAGGAGTGAATAGAGGGCAGGCGGGCCGGGTTCACCGGAGGACCACAAACAATCAGCTTTCAAACCTTTGCGGAACTTCGAGAAGATCTTTCGAACGAGATGGTCTTGACTCAATTCTTGCAGAGGCTCGTTTTTACGTCGTTCTGCGAGTTCTTTTTCCCGTTTGACGTCAGATACTTTTCTGAATATCAACCGATGTCGTAGGTTGTAGGTTAGAAGAAGATTCCGGGCGAACGAATTTGCGAATGCATGGTAGAAGTTTAGAACTTCCAGGAGCTTGTCCCTCTTAATCGAGTGTAGATCGCAGTACGTCAAAGCGCGGACGTTGGCGCAGCTTTGGCCTATCGTTGGTTCCCGCCAAAAGCAGTCACCGAACACGTCGCCTTTTCCTGGAAGCCATGTCGAAGAGAAAATCAATGAAATGCCTCCGGGAAACTTCCCGTCCGCCGTGGAGGAGAATCCATGTCACTCTTGTGGGAGCGAAGTGATAACACCTGTCGCCGAAATGCTCCCTGCAACCACCCGCGCATTCTTGACGACTCACCTAAGATTGCAACGACCTCTTCATCTTGGATGACTTCCAGACTTCCTGACACGACAAAAGACAGCGTGTCTATCGATTCCCCTGTGTGGTAGAGGAGATCCCCGGGCGCCGAATGATCCATGGAAAAATACATTGCCAAGGCTCGCAGGCAGCCGTCCGAGGCAAGTCGGAACGCCGGATGTTCGTTGAAGACCTGAAGGACGAGAATACATCCTCGGTGGAACCAACGGATCTCGACAAAAATTATAGGAACACTGTGAAGGTTCGAATTTTATCGATGAGCTTACCTTTCGGTTTAGGTGTACACAGATATCGGCCGTCATGTCTTTAGGACAGTAGCCTAAAACTTTTTTAGTGTCAATGCCCCTAGACATTGTCCACGTGGAAACGACGTAATCCATGACGCGCTCACTGAGTGCCTTGGGAACTTCATGCAACTTCATGAACTCCCTCACGTTGTTCAGCATCTCATGGTAGCGAGCAGTGGCCGAAGTCATCTGCTGGATGATTGTCGTTACATGTCCAAAGATCGTGGCATAAAGTAACGCTCCTATCACCATCATACAGATTGTGAACACCTGCAACGACAAGCCGATGTTTTCTCTGTTCCAACACGATTCGAATCATTCGCGTCTCCCAAGTTTCCCGAAACGAGGGAGTCGATTCCGTCGAGCCTCGATATTGTCAGGCCTCTAGCTATATACGTCATAATGTGCTGTTGTCAGGACTAGGATGAGCTCCGCCAACGGCCTAGCTGTCGCTATGCGAACGGTCGCTTGCCTTTTCATTGTCGGTCTCCGCGGCGACGTTTCCGAAGCCAACGGAAGTCATACAGGTCATTGTGTAGTAGAGGGACGTGACGTACATGGTGCCCCTTGCAGGACCCCCCTTCAGTTCAGCCTTCCCGCCGCCGGGATAGAAAAATCGGAATTCTTCTTTTGTTGTGTTTGCCAACTTCCAGAGCCAACTGAAGGTATATCCATTTTCAGCATCGCTGCGTCCGATCGAGTACCTGCGAGAGGCGAGAGGCTCTTATAGGACTGATATTGTTTTCGTTAGTCGACGCCGTCGTCGTCTTCTTCTCCTACCCCTTCCCACAATCCTTGCGGACGCATTCGAATTGTACATATATTCGATCGACGATACGACAAGTTCCTACTCGATGGTCAACTTACCAAATGCAAGCGAGCCAATGCGCGACAAGCATATAGAAACATAGCAGCAAGATTAACATCGCAGCACCGTATTCTAAATATCGATCCAGCTTACGGACAACCCGTCCCAATCGGAGGAGTCGAACGACTTTCAATGCGCTGAACAAACTCCCGATGCCTTGTTGCTGAAATCAATGGGATCGAAGTCAGTATATCGAGACATGCACGAATACTCCAGCACATGAATCAGACGTTCTGCCGATGCAGGCGAATAATCTCGTATTGTTTATATCGGGACGCTATCCGCCATCAGTCTGCAATTCTTTTCTGCTGCAGTTTGTATGAGAGGCTCGATCATCGAGTCACCGGAATCTTGCGGCTGATATGATAAACGTAAAATAAAGAGTTTCGTTCAAGATGACCGCGCTCTTATTTTTACGGTCTGAAGCCGTCGGCGCGTCCGGGCTCCCTTAGGAGAGCGCGACCTTAAAGAGTTCAACTTTTATGGTCTAGCTGAGAGGAAGCCCGTAAAATGCTTCGCCGAAGATGGTTTTCCGCTTCCACTGGGCCGCCGTCGCGGTAGCCGATCTTTGCGACAGCGACGTCCACAATGCCTGCTTAAGGCTGCGGAACAGTCAACGATTGAATCCAGAATAGAGTCCCGGACGTCGGTGTCGGCAGACGTCGAGTATACGTACATCTTCACTTCCGTCAAAGGCATTGAATACATCGTAGGGTAAACAGGACAGTAGGTCGATGGTGAACCAACTTTTCAGGTAATTCATTCGTATGATCTTAGGGTCCGAGACGACCTCGCCTCCGGGACCTGCAAACAATGGAGGCCGAGTCAACAAATGTTCAGAATTCGCATCCAGAAGCCGCACTCCTAAACTGAATATTTATATCCGGAGGTTGTGGCTCCAAGAGCTCTATCGCGCCCACGACTCAGAATAAGAATTCCTTACCCACGAAGGTTGTGTGGAAGTTTAGTACAATATCAATGAAGAATATCACGTCGACGATTGAGTCCAGAACAAGCAATGAGACATCGTCGGACGTTTTGTTTTTGAATGCCACATTGTACGGCACCATTATTGCAGTGTAGAACGTTAAACAGAGAATTATCCAATCCCATATTGCCTGGAACGAGGTTTCTGCGTTATTCCCGATCGCCGTGACAACCCTACAAATTAACCGGCCTTGGGAAGAGAAATCACATCCTGGGCTGCAGAGCAATATCGGAGCTCCCTGAACAACGTCGGAGCGTCACAAATAAAAATAATGCTATCCAATCTGATTGACTGCAGCCTTAAACTCGGGGGAAGCTCTGGAGACATCTCCTGCCCAGGACCAGGAGCCCAACGATGATCTACCGGCGCGTTCTGCACGGGGCTCGAGAAACTTTGTCTGAAAACCCGCGAGCGAGGATTGCCCGATCCAAGGGAAACTCGTAAGGACATTCTGGAGTGGATTATTCTTCGACCGAACGAGTTCATGGAAGATGGAGCAGGATGCGAAAAATTTCGAATGCAGGGCTTTCACCAGAGCCTTAGCTGGTCGCCTGCGAGGGTACTGTCATGGAAGATAGGAGGCCTGTACTTAATGTGCGCGGTATACGCCCTGTTGCTCTCGGCCATAGTTCGTCGCCTCATGGGAAAGCTGACTTCAAAAGATAACAATGCTATCTACCTCTGATTCTGTTGACTATACTGTCCACCGCCTGAGTGCGTCCCGGGCTCCTAGAGGCAAGGGTTGGAGAGCGATGGGGGAACAGTGTAAGGATCAAGAACGGATGAACAATGAGCTGCGGCGAGCGGGTTTCCAATCGGGGGACGAGTCATTTTCGATAGATCTCAGGTCCCCAGCCATGGGGGATATCATGTGCGCATCGAGATCCCGCGATTTCAGCAGAGAAATAGAAAATGGCGGCTTCCTCTATCTTGTAGGCTCATCCAGGGAGCTTGGGACAGACCGACGAACCTCCAGAATATGCTCAAGTCAGAGAGGCACTTCTGAGTGTCCTGCTGCACGATCCATCGGCTAGACCGCGTGCGAGGAGCGGAACCTATCGGGAAACCTCAAGGGATCGTCGTTGGTGTCATCACCAGGAAATATCCTTGATCGTATCCTCTACTCGCGATGATCTCACTCAGCTCCAGCGTCGCCATAAATGGCTATCCTCATTCATGGGGCGTCTCGGGACGTCGAGCAACAAGCCGAGAGCTTTATTTTGGCCTGCGATACATATTACTTGTGGGGATTACCGGACATGACTTGGAGCAAATAGCCAAAACAGAATTCCCGCGAATTTCTCGCACGCAGACGCGTTTCCGAGGTTCGGAGAGCCTTTTTTCAGCATGACATGATCCCTCAACTCGGAATTTCCGACATTCCGGTCAGACTGATGGCGAGGAGATTAAGCTCGGTACTTACTTTGAAGGCACAGTAGTGAAGCAGAATATGAGGTGGTGTTTTCGGAGCTTCTTGACGGTATTGTGGAAGTACCTCAGCATTTAAGCTCATCATGTGCGCTATCTGGGACTGTTTAGAGCTGTGTTCACTTTTGATAGCCACCGGCAAGTGAGATGAGAATTGCACCAGAACCGACCTGCGGGGGAATGATCGATTATTTCGCGAGCTGTCTCCGTCAATCCCATGCGAACTCTCTAATCGCTATTAGGGAATATTCATTCGCGGATTTTTTCCTGATCTACTGGGCCTCTCGTTTTCGGAGACCATGATATCACCGAGCTGCTCGTCGCCTTCAGCCTTCAGCCTTGATTACCGCGCAAATCCTGCGAAATCTCCGAAGCGCATGCGGATCCTTTTCCTGTTACTTCCCTCGCGGAGAGACGAATGTTTTGTCGCGGAGCTTTTCTCTACGTACCTAGACTATACGAGATTGAGTGGAGTGTGTTCAGAGCTGGCGGCACCGTCGAGGCCCTAGACACATCCCTGAGTGAGTTTGTGACGGTTCCATGTCTTGAGCTGGATTAGTTTGTCTGCAGGGCCTCGTACCCCGATACCTCAGCAGCTGGAGATCTTCTCCCAGTCGAACGTCTCATGAGACGCAGCTTCGCATCATATTCGAGAATGGTCTCGTGCTCTGATCCATGTAGCATCGAACGCATCAACGGATTTGAGTCTACATCTCATGACGGGAGTTCGTGGCCAGCAGGGAAGCCGAGGAATTTCATTTGTTTTTCTCGTTTTCCTTAGTCCCTGTTGTGCAATCAGACGAGCAGAGAAGATTGAGAACGAGCGAATGCGATTTCCGTAACCGCTTGTGCTTGTCGCAATCGACCGAAAGGAGCCTGCAGCTAGGCGGCTAATCTTGTTTATTCCCTTCAGAGAGATGAAGCCCCAACCCTTCCTTCCACCAGCAGACGGAATCGAATTCGACTATCGGGCATCTTCGGACCGTGAGCTCCCTGCTAGGCTCGACGGACCGCCGTTGCTCGTCTCGAGAATTAGCTAATTCAGATTCCAGCAATGATTTCCACTAACAGAAACAAGTTAGGCTCTCAGGCGGGAAAAACCGAAATTCAAGGGCTATCGAACCCCTGTCGGATAGACCGCTCATCGATCAAATTGCCAAGACGAATTTCGGCAGGTGTCGACAAGGCTCCCTGAACTACTCAGGGAGCGAGCTCAGACAAAATGACTTGTTTTCCGACGCGGTGAACTCTTGTCGATCGGAACCATTCGAACGTTGGAGTACTCCCAAGTCACCGTGAGTAGAAGAGGCATCCTGAGAGAGGAAAAAGGAGCTGTAATACCCCGAAAAGACATGTCATGGTATTAGCACCTTCCGTTGCCGCCTCATCTGCGTTCCCGGGAAGACCACGGCAGGATCGAGGAGTGAGTGAGCCGCTCTAATAGCTATCGCCTTCGGTGGAGCAACTTCGCCCGACACGACTCTTTATCCTCGTTTCCGAAAAGCAAATGAATCCCATAGACCTCGAGGAAAACACACATCGAGCTAAGAGGAGCCAGCGTGGTGCCGTGGGAAGGGACCGTAGGCTGCGAGAGCGCTGAGTTTTCACCCAATTCGAGGATTCGATGTATTTCCAGGGCTAATCCAAGAGGTCGTCGATGGCGGGACTCTGATCATGCGTCGAGAAAAAGTGTCCTGCAGTAGCTCGGTAGTCTCATCTGATTTCATTTTGTGCCTAAGCCTCGCACAGGGCAAGACTCAGCATCCAGAAGTTCGCCGCAAGGAACTTGTTGCTGATTTGACACGTGTTCGCGCGCCATGAAATCGAGCTCCGATTGGGGTTCGAGATTATTCCGGTGAGCGCGCTCCTCTCAGTCCGGAATTCTCCGTTTCAGTCCGAGATTCTCCTGAATATTTTGAGCGAACTCGAAATCGAAACAAATCGAGTCGATCGACGACGATTTCCGATGTCAACTCCGGGCTCGCTGTCGTCCTGTGCCAAGGGAAATAGACCTGCGTGCAGCAGACATGCAATCGACCCGAGGACTTTCGGTCCCCCCGTTGGAAGAATCGGAAGAGCCGGAGGACGACGACGAAGACGACGAGGACATGAGGTGAAAGCTGAGGGAATTGCCAGTCACTGTCTTGACAGAGGAAGGAATGACCTTTCGGCAAATTTGCTGGTGCCAAGCTCCCCGAGGACCGCTGGCTGAGTGCAGGTAGCGCTGCCCGGAGAGCAAGAGATGTTCGCTCAACCGGTCGAAACTCCAAAAAGCAATTCCATAATTGGGAAGTAGAAGGGAATCGAAGTAAAGCTCTTGTTGATATAGGCGGACGCTTGGCTCCGGGTGCTCTCTAATCCAGTGCCGAAGCGAGGCGCTTCTCGGCTGAGCCTTTTGCGTCTGTTGGGCGGGAACTGCAGAGCAATCCGTCGCAATAATCTCGTTGCTAGTGGATCTGATGATTCGAGTTGACATTGCCAAAAATCTCCCCGGTTCCTCTCTCGGTGGTGTTTCTCCTCCGCCAGCGATCGCGACTCGCTGAATACCATGCCGTACATAAATAGACGGTTTTCGCTCTGATAGATGTACACAGTGGCGCCGGCTTGCTTTCTTTCGACTCTTTTTCCCATTCACTCGCCTTCATCGCTTTCGACAGCCGACTCGCAATTCACGTGATTTTCTACGCATACAGAGATCGCGATCGCACAGCGATCAACCGAAGGAATTTATTGCTCTGGTGGTACCGTCCGTCCCATCATTCATCTACGGGCCGCTGCTCCCGGAGAAAGGCGGGAACAATCGTCAATAGATACAGACACTACGGGACGACCTTAAACACAGCTTTTCCTTTCCACGCAGAAATTCGCCGATGAAAACAAGTCATTTATTGGCAACGACTTCCTCAGAGCAGACCCGAGGCGACGATTCGGGAGTGAAAAGAATCACCGATCTGTCTCGCTAATGACGCGGGCCCGGCGTTCCCGAGGCTGACGGGAAACTCCATGGCTGCATGGCTGACCGACCCAACCTGGGGTCCATCCGACTCCAATTAAGTCGCGGCTGGAATGCGGGATCGAGCTCGGAGCAGGAAAGGACGTCTGGTTTTTCAAAATTAAAATTAAATCGATGTTACATCGATTTCCCGACCGCGGGAAGCAATTTTTGGCACGCCTTTGGCAAACTTCTATCACACGAGCCGTTAGAAGAGTCGAGAGAGGGTAGAATCCCGACGACGTCTTCTGCGAGTGCGCTGACCTTACCCCGTGTCGTCACGCGCGAGCTAATGAGGACTGATTTAATCCTATGTTATAATAAACTTTTTCAACCCTCTCATTACTATGCACTTGGGGCCGCTCGCTCCTCTCTCCTCTGTAATCGTCGTCTCCGTAGGGTACGGACGTAGTAGACGGACCTGCACACCTACCGGGGAGCCGATCCAGCTCGATCCCGGCCCGCGGGATTCCCCCTCGAGTTTCTCGCCTGCTTTTTCTGATCGGGGCAGCCTGCCGACACGGTAGCAATAAATCCTCGCCATGGCTCTTGTTTCTCTGAATACCATACATTCCGATGCACGCAACTGACGCGGAGCTTCGAATTTCAGGCCGACACAGGACCCATTGCTAAGGAGTTGTGGAGGAAAACCGAAGGAAGAACGGAACAGGATTTTGGCTCGTCTCGATCAGTGCTACCATCGTCGAATTGTGAGCCGATGGCGAGTGAGCTACGTGCTTTCGCATCGCGCGGTGTTTTTCCCTCCAATTGCTTCTTTCCTGACGTTTCATCAATGCTGTCGAGCGATCGGCACCGGCGATGACCGGTTTGCGGTTGGCGCAAAAACCAATATCGAAGTTATTAAATAACTGAGCTAAAGCCTGTCTTTGTTCCCCTGTCCACGGGTTGGAGTTCCTCTCTAATCATAGAGCTTCGCCCGAGGGGGAGAGGCCATTTGAATTATTGCGATCGACCGATGCGAACGCCTATTAATAGGGCTCGCCAGCCCGAATGGCTGATTCCTGCAAGGCATGAATGTGTCCTGCGCCGCGACGGATGACAGCGGAGGACGGGTGACGCCGCCCGAATGCTCGCACTCTACTCAGGAGATGTCTACGGTCCGGAGGACGGGCTCCGTCAAGCTTCCTGCCGGCGAGTGAAAACGTGCGAAAAGACTTACCGACTTCTGGTAACGGATCGGGCCAGACGGGCGAACTTCGAAAGGCCCGCCTTAGCAGCGTCGTCATCCAGAGGTTGTTTCAGAGCGGTGATATCTCGGAATGTCAGGAGAAACAGAACGACGAGATCCTTTTCGTTTTTGATGGGAGCTACGTGTAAGAGTAGCCATAGTGGTGTCCGGTTCCTTTTGTAGAGTAGGATCTCCACCTGCAACAAAGCGCTTCGGTGACAATCTGAGCCAGAACCTCCCCCGTCTTCCGTTGCTCTGTCCATTCGTAGGTTTTTCGCTCAGCCCTCCGTCCCTCCGTCGATTCCTCCGTGCAACGACTGCTGTTTTTCCCTCTAGGTAACGTCGTTTACGTCCAGAGTGTCGTAGACCGCGAGAGACTGGGACTTTTATTGTTTGCCCATCGATTGTATGATTCCTTCGGACGGCGTCACCATCGACAAGTTTCTGCTCACCGTGAAATCTCTTCATCGGTGTCTTCTCTACAGAAGATGGACGAATTCGCAAAATGTTTCAATGTGCGATGTACAGATTGGTATTATCCCTTCCCCAAGTTCAACTCGTCACTGATCTTTTTCGAAGTGATTAGGCAATCCCGTGCCCCACGACTCGGTGCAGCAGGGTTTTGCCACGGCTTTTGTCATGGTGTAGACAAATTACGCAAACATTCGTTCGCGCGGCAAGTTCATCCTATGACTCCACGCACAGAGAGGCTATTGGTCGCGGTTGGATGTACCCGTGAAGGATCACTCGACTCGGCAGTCTGTGACTCTCGGCACAGATTCAATGCATTCCGTCCCGACACCTGGGCGGTGGATAATGACTATTCAGAGCCGAATCGCGGACTGAGCTCGCGGTTCCCATTCTTCCTTACGGATCCTGCTCGCGGCTGCCATGTGCCGCGCATCAACGTTGACTACCTCTCGGCTCTATCGCATTAAATATTCGATTAGCGTCGACTTTGAATATCGAACCTTTGACCCGTTCAAAGGTCAGAATCGTAGGGCTCGATGAGCGTCAGAGATAGCGGAGTAACCTTCCGATATCCAATTCTGAGATTGCTCCTTGACCTACGACGGGGAGCTAAACGGTCGAGATGTGCTGCTCCGAAAGAGCCGCAAGGTCAAGCGTCTTCAATAAGCGAGCGGCCTCCGTTCGAGCGATGAAATAGTCCGTGGGCTCGCGCAACGGAAAGAGCACAGCCTTGTTTCGAAATTGCGGAGTCACTTTCGACGTACACGTCTAGCTATGTACATGAGAGACGCATCGAATGGGTTCCGCTCCGAAGAGGTTTCCGTTTCTTTTGACGGCGGCACGAACGCCATCGACTTGTTCATAGCACTCGGGATGAGAGAGGAATTCAAACGACCGCCTGAATAAGTTTCGATTCTGTCCGACTCTACTGTTCGAAACTTTCGAGTCGACCGAACGGAGGCTCATCCTAGTCTAGCTGTAAAGGATTCATCAACTCTTTTTTAGCAGACTACTGGGAGAAGCTCCCGCTGCTTTCGAAGTAGCTACCGATGTCAGAATCATCGATCATTTGATTCAGCGCTCGCGTCTGGGGGAGTGGAGGATAGTCTTCTGTGAAATGCGTGCGTATCCCCGTTTTCTCGCCGGGATCGCTGAATCAAGATTATGCTCCGCGTAACAGTTTCCGTAGAGCGGGTCCCCTCGAGCGAATGTCCCATCCTACTTCACGGTGGGCGATAAAGAGCCTGGCGAGGCCGAAAGGGAGAGAGCAACTACTGGAATGAGTCGGCCTAGCTTCCAGGAGGACCGGACGTGAATTATGAACCAGTGACGAGTACACCAAGGCCGTCGGATCGATTCGACACAACTAGCACGGCTGCCTGAGCGAGTGTGTCTCGATAAGTGGAAGCAGCATTGCAAGTTGCCACTCAGGACATCGAAGCCTTCGAGGCGCGCCATGGCTGTCTTCAATTGTGGAGAGACGAGGCCATTGTCTTCCACTCGATCACCATTGGAAGCCTTGAGATACCGCTCGGCTAGGTATGCTTGTCTGGAGCGGGATCTTGTCAGAAGAACTCATAGGGCCTGGGAGCTCGACTCTTGTATCGATCGTTGAAATTCTCGAGGTACAAAGTTTTCGGCGTCTCTCGCGTTCGCCTTGATTATGCCCCTCCGAACTCCTCTCTCTTCCGTGATATCGTCGGATCTCGCTAGAAGTCCGCCGGCGCCCTTCGCGCTTCCCACGCTCCTTCGGAATCGCTGTCTGTCTCTGTGCACTGGGATGATTAGGGCCCGCTTCAAGTGTCGCCTCTCATCCAGACCATCCGACAGTAACCGGAAACCCAGGGCGGGAGCGAGGGGGAGCTGACGCTACCGAAAACCAGTCCTGGCAACCCCAGACAAACAGCCAATCCTTCAGACCCCCATGCGGATAACGGGAGTTCCAAGTTCCACAAAATTCTGTTTCAGCGTCGAATCCGTGGACGATCCGTATCCGAGAGACATAGCCCGAGGGTCCTTAACTATCGGCACGTACACTCCTCCGACAAGAGAACATGAGTCCTTTAGAAGGACTAACGGCGTAGGGAGGGGGAAAGGGGAGGAAAATCAAGTAACCCATTTCAATGAGCGACGACCGGCCCGCGAGTCCGTCTCATCAATCATTTCGGAAACCCGACTGGAAAATGTGTGTCCTACCAAGTCTCCCATCAAGATGTCGCGAGCAGCGTCGTCCTTGCTCTGCTTAAATATGCAGGCAGCGAGGTGGCGCGAAATGCTGTGCATAAGAACCCTTATAAAAATAAACTCAGTTTCTTTCCTTCTGCCCCGCTCTCGTATATCAGACAAACGCATGAGCGGAGAACGACGGACGAGCGAAGTAAGGGGGGCGGGGACGGTTTCACGCGAATGTCCGCTGAGGTGGAAAAGCTAAAACCCTTCACAACAAGCCGGGAGGGAAATTCAATTACACTCATCAAACTACCACCGACAAGAAGATGAAGAAAAGTGGCCGCAGCCCCCAACAGAGAACGTGAAACAGGGGGAAGGGGGAGGGGTGGAATCGGAGCGACTCTCGAGAATCGAGAATCTTCCCCACTGCGCTCCTCATGCGTCTTCATCTCACGACACGCTCTTCTTTATTCTCTCCAAGATCAAGCCCCACTCATTTATCCCTCCTCTGCTTGCGTTCGTCTGGGCTCTTGCCCGACTTCCCCGTTTCCCTATGATTCAGACTCACCTGTTCGGACTGGTGGTTTTCCAGACACTGATCGACCTTTTGTATTGTTTGGCGATCGGTCAATTCGCCATACATGAAGGCGCATCTGCACGATTTTTGCATGACTTCGGCTCGGTTGTAGCCCGATATTTTGCAGAATGACTCCGAGCAGTAGACTATGGGATAGTCCACAATTTGAGCGTTGGCGAGAAGGAAACTGCAGTCGGCTGCAAAAGACGAGCACAAGTCGTTAGTTTTAGGATTCCTCGGTATCTGTAGAATCCTATGGAACAAGTCGACGGAGAGCGGGAATACTCTTCGAACAACCGGATTTTCGGGAAGAAAGGACAAAAATCAATAATAAGCGCGTGAATCACTCCGCTATCTCGAGCCGGGGCCCAAGACGTGAACACGAACTCGAGCACACCGAGAGCCACAGGTCCGGGACAGATGGCCCTGCAGCAAGAAAGTCTTGATGTGTCGACACAACATCGGTCCAATCTCCAGGTGGGTAAAAATGGAGCAACTGCACAAGGAATTCCCCTCTGGCAAGCAAACTACCAGTGCAGCGTTCCTCGGGTTAGTCTCCGAGCAGCGTGTTTCTATGCTGATGGTGGCGGTGGCGGCAATATGTAGTAGCATGGCGATTAAGCGTGCGGTCAACTGTGCTAACCAACTGCAATATAAGAAGCTATGTGCTCTCGCTCGAGCGCGCTGGAACAACTGAACGCAGCTGTAATAAAATAAATTGTCTCCCTCCCTTTTCTGCCCTCCGAGAGCTTTCTTCTCTCCCGGCCGAAACTGACCACAACACACGGATTCAGCGGTCCGTGTTCGGTCTCGTGGAGGTTTCCGTCGGTCTTTCCTCACGTCTATCGATACAGACCCGCTCCGGCCGGATCCTCGCACCTCGGGTATCCAGCCCACCGGACTCTTTGTCAGATTCGTCGACGGTGGCTACGACCTCACGAGCCGTGGCTCATTCCCTTCGCTTCTAGGGGTCTTGCGTAGGCGAACACCGGAGCGGCTAATTGTCTGAGAAAGCCTCCCTCGCCTCCCCGGGGGAGTTTTCTTGTGCTCTCCGTCTCGGTGGAACGACGTACCTTCAGGGACGAGAGGTTCTGCATCCGAAAGGATAGAGGATTCAGTCTCAGAAACTCTCGAATCTACATACATCACGCCAAGCGTTTCTGGAGCTTTGCTCGGTTGCTAACCGCGAGCCAGGAAGCGGCAGGTCTGATATCTACGCATCGGGAAGCTGTGATGGATTCCAGCCCGCGGTAACCGACAGGAGAATATCTCGACTTCCCTATTCAGAGAGATGGTATGGAGAACTTCTCCCGATAGGAAAAAAACGGCAGGGAACTTTCTGTTCCCATGCGCCGTATTCCCACCCTTCCATCATCGTGAGTTTTAATAATACCCGAGTCTCGGCGCCGATTTTGCTGGCCTCATCGTGCGATAGATGTTCCGAAACATCGGCGGTTTCCGAACGGAATCACGGACTGCGGAGTTCCGCGCTTCGACTGATCGGAATGACCAGTAAAAACACCGGCGATTCATATCTCACGAGGGACACTCTCCTCTAATGATACACGTGTTCGTCTTCGTTCGACGGATGGAATGATAGTAATCAGGAACTGCGATCGGTCTCCGCAACTTCATCGCCGATTCAAGTAGCGCTCATTCCTCCGGATATTCGTTCCATCCTTCCCCCGGGAACGGCATATCGGAGTTTGCCACGCAATTTGGGTTTGCGGAAGGGTGAGCTCTGTCTTTTGGTTTCCGATGTGTCGCTCATTCCGTCAACCAGCCGTACAAGAAAGTATTCGAGACCTCAGTACAGTAGCGATGAGCGACGCGCTCCTCTTGGGGAATCGAGCCCAGATCCGTCGGCTCACGCGAAGAGAATTCTGACGGGAAAGTAGTCCGTCGCTCGTGTCTCATTGAACTCCTTTTTGTTTTCGCGCAGTGATGCGCAAGGACGAGCAGGCAGTCTTCATGAGGGAAAATCATTCTCGCTGTCGCGGTAAATACGACAGCGGCGAAAGGTCACAACGAAACTATTAGGCCGAAAGGACGATTAGGTTTGTTTCGACGAACGGCTGCAGCGGTTCCGAGCGGCTTGCGTCGGCTCCATCGTGACACGTTGATCACGACACAGGCCGATCGTGCCTCCGCTACGGGCCAAGTGTAGATGAGGTCATGGTCCGAATGCCACGTGAATTCATGTCACCAGACAGTCACGCCTATCGAAAGGGCCGAGACGATGAGAGGTGTCCAGGTCGCTCTCCGGTGGGGCCCGAACGATCTTGTGCGTCTCCGGAACGCACCGTCTCGGACTCGGTGACAGAGATTTAGACCCACGCAGAGCGATCCCAGAGGAGCGGTGGGAATCCGTGACGGTTTCCAACGCGGATCGGTTCGATTGCGGGGCTCATGGGAAGGAGATTGACGGGAAAGGATTCCGGATCGTCTGGACGATAACGCAGATTGCACGCCATGATCAACGCGAGGGCGATAACCAGGTGGCGCGAGGAGTTTAGTCAGCAGAATTCGGGACAAGCGAGGAAGAAACTCCCGAAGATGAATTGTTTCGAATCCGCGTCGTTTTTCCACGCGCCGGGATTTTCGGCGAGGCGTCAGCTCCTTGTGAAAGTAGAATCTCCGAGTCTTATCTGAGCTTACGGAATTCCCCCGGCACGGCTTCACACCGGCACTAGGGAAGACCCAACGATGATCCGAACGACTTCGCTGCCGATTCCGTTCCTCTGCGATTCCTCTCACAATAATTCCCGCACCGGAGCGCTAGTGTGCGATCGCAGCTCTGCTGTCAGGACCCATTCTGAATTTCCGACATCGTATCGAGTCGGTAATTTACCACGCAGGCTTGCGGAACAGGGCCCCACCATACGTCGAATCTTTGAACGGTCCGGGCTCATGTCTATTCCCCTCCGGGAGTAATCTCCGACAAAACCAATGGTGGAATGTGTTCCGAGTGGTGTAACGAACAGGGAATATTCGACAGAGCGCGTCATTGTGTGCGCGAAGAGTCGATGTGGAATCAGCAGGTGGGACCGGGTCGACAACTTTCGCCCAGTCTTTGTTTCCGCGTCATGTCTTCAACCGAGCCGAGCCGCGCAACGCTGACCGAGTCAATGTCGTATTTTTCCCATTGCTCTGCGTCCGTATGCTTTTGACGAGCTCACATTCTGTGTTACTCGAAGTGAGCGAGTGGAACGAGTGAGAGCTGCCACCACGAGTTCATACCGTTGCGGAGGTCAGCTCGGTCAAAGCTACGTGCTTCACATTCAAAACGATCCACTGTCTGATTCTCGCGGATTTTTCCTTGCGCCAATCCGCAGCTCCCGTCACAGACGCTCGCGATTATTTGCGTTCGCCAGCTATTGACACTTTTAGCAGCATAGCGATAACTCATTCAGAATTGTTCACAATTCATTGTCAGACATCCATTTTTCGGGCACACCGAATTCAGGATGATCCTTGTTCCATCGACGCATCCGGCGCAAAGCGTTTGAGATTGCGGAGGGGTGAGGGGACAAGTTCGAGTTGGGGGCGCAAGGTACCGCGCAATTGCGGAAGCGCAGCACGCAAGGCAATGTCTTGTCTGAGGAGGAGTATGGCAGGTGTTCCCGTTCAGTGCGACGGGTTCAGCGATATCTTGCGCTAGCCCGCATATTGCTGGGTAATTTAGCTCCATGATCGCGGAACGATGAGCTCTTGCATCACGGCAAGCGGATGAGCTGCGCCGATCGTCGCTCATGATATCCCGCGAGCCAAATGGTGCACCGATGAGGTTCCCATTCAGCGAGCTCGAGCTTGCTCCGCCGGTGTCCTGGAGGATTTCCTCCGAGAATCGTGTGATTGTCACCTGCTCGGCGTTCCCGGCGAATGAATTCTCCACCACCGATGCGAATATCTCCAAGTTCCCTCAGTCTCTTCGAGAACCGTTGATATTCGTTCCTTCGTCAGCCGGGGGCGATTCGGTAAGGAGTGCAACATGGACGCTGAATGCCGCAAAAAATCGTGCGAGTTCGCGACATTCCCCTGACGGAGCGGCGATTTGGCCCGTCCTGCTTGCACGGCCATTGACGTTCGCCGTCGATCGCAAAACGATCTGCATGATCTTCGGCGGCATTTTCAAGCCGGGAGATCAATTCACTCGCCCTCGAGCCAATTTCCAATGAATATTTTGGTCGCCTGTAGGGGAATGTGCTCATCGTCGTCCGAAAGATATCCACTGTCCAGAGAGTCAGTTTCCTGAGGGGACATCGAGCGTATGTACATATATGAGTAGAAATTTATTTTTGCATGTTTTTTTCCTTTCTGCCTCCCGAATAACTTCCGACCCGGGAGCGGAGTGGTGTCCGCTGGACATGGCATCGAATATTGACCAGGACCGACCAAGGCTGGCTGTAAATCGTGCGGCCGGCAGACTCTGTGGAGACGTTAGTGCGAGAGTGGGAGCGAGCTACGAGCTAGGGAGAACTGTGCATCGTTGTCGACCATGTACGTCTTTTGGGAAGCGTTGCTGCTGCTGTTTCTCGCAGAGAATCCGTTGTCTGATCGAAAAGCTTTATTCTAACGAGAACTCGTGTTTTCCTGCCCTATTCGCTCCTGACTTCCGGACCCACAGGTTAACTGCTCACAGGAAACGCGCCCCGGGAGACCGCTGCTAGAATCCTCGCCGCTGCTGGCTGGCAGGCTGGCAGAGACAGCCTCCTGGGGCAACCTTAAACTGCGACCCGAACGCGGATATCTGCTGGAGCCAACTTTCGTGGGAAAACGTTATTGCAGCTCGAAATTTGAATAAAAACCGCGTTCCGCTTATTTTCCCTCAGCCCTATGATTTTCTACCCGCGAGTGCCGTGCCTGGAATTGCGGAGTTTTGCGCAAGCGAGGCCAAGTGAGAGAATACTTTCGAAACAATGATCTCTCGTCCGGAAAAGGCGAGACAGAGGTCGACGGGCACATCGTGCGAGGAAAACGAGGGAAAGAAGCGGGAGGGACGAATAGCTGTACATCTACGGTCGATCGAGAGGTGAGGGCTCGCACACATCGAACTGCATATCGAGAAGTTCACCGTGGGGTCCTCCTCAGGCCCCTTCTGGAGTGATATAAGGACGCGCCGTGTGTTCCTCCTCATCGATTCGTTCCGAACACGTCGGCACTGGTCGAGATCGATCAGATATCGCCGGTGCCGTGC